ACTTTACTACGGTTGGAAATATATTAAACCAAATTGGTAAATAATAAATCTCCTTTATTTTTCGAGTGTACACAATTCAATAACTTTGGCAAAATTGAGACAATTAAGTTATTTTCATTGAAAAATAATTTCCCCCTCAAAAAAACATCAAACATGAAAGATGTAGTGCAGTGAACACTTTAACTACACTTAACATTGTATTAAAAAAAAGAAGAATTAAATATACCTCCCACCCAAAAATTCGTTTAGATGAAAATATTCTAAACAAATCGGGGTGTGAATTATGTTTGGCATAGAAAAAAAAATTAACACAAAACATTTATTTATTAAGCGTTGTTGAGTGAAAAGAAATTTAGTTAGACGCCTTGTTCTGGCGGTGCACATTTTTCTTTTCTTTTCTGTGAAACAAGAATAGACAGACAAGCAACTACATACACTTGTCGTGGCATGAAACCAACCGCTGACCAACCAACCAACAAAACAATCAGCCGACCCAAGTGTTTAGTTTATGAATGGAATTCTTAAAGAGAAATAATAAACACACATGTGAAATTCAATGGCAATAAGAAATAAGCAGAATATGCATGGAAAATACAATAAGTGTGTTTTAAGCGGTGAAGGTTGAAAACGGTAAATATACGAATACGAAATATAGTCCGATTTTAAATTTATGTTGATGTGAGATAATTTATTATTTCGATTTTGAATTCTCCAAAAAGGTAACATTTTATATTAAAGTGTCTATAAGAGAGTATAATCTCTCTACACAAACTAACTTAAAACTAACATTTATATATTTATTGAACAGTATTATACGCTGGGTTCCATTTTGCATCAAAATTTAGGATTTTTTCTATGGTAATAGATGAGAGTCTCTACTTCATATAAAACCAGTAAGGGCGAGAGCGTCTATTTGGTAGACCTCCCGTAAGAAAAAAAAAATATGTTGGGAATTTAAGTGAAGTAGATGATACCACCTATGAACGTGCTGTATGTGCATGATATGACTTTGACAAGGATTATATTAGCAAAGGCTATAGTCGTGCGGGGCCGACCATGTGATACCCTACAACACTACAATATGTTCGAAGACGCCTTATATCCAAATCCATTTCGGAAGATTTCGTTTTTGCCCAGAAGTTATCCTTAGGTTTTTGACCCGAATTTGGCAAATATTTAGGCACTCCGTTGTGTTGTTAAGTATTCAAAACAATTTCACACGAAAGTTGTTGTCCATTATGCAGCTAAATATAACTCAATGGTCATCCAAAATGCTAGACTTCTTCCCTGTCCTTAACCCTCATCTGATGCGAAATTTTGAATCAATTAGTTTTCAATTATGGCCTATAGAGCGACTACAAAATTAGAAAAATTTAAATTTTTTTAGTCCATTTGAATATTTAATTATACAGCTTAAGAACAATAGGCTGTAATTCAGATCCTAACCCTACACCCATGCAAAATTTCATGAGGATCGGTCGATAATTGCGACATGCATAAAAATTTAGAAAATTTACAATTCAAAATTGTAAGTCAAACTGAAAAAATCGCATGCGATAAAAAATATGACAAAAATTGAAAAAAAAATGGAACAAAAGATATTCACTTTTTTATTTTTATACCATTCCGAATTGATGGGAATTGTGAAAATCGGCCCAGCGGTTCTTGATTTATAGCAGAATATATAAGATTAATTCTTTAACATAACATCCACCTATTTTGTACCTATTTTGCTATATATCCGATTTCTTGGCTATTAGCATCACTGTAATGGTCAGAAGTGATCTTTTAATATATTTCTGATTTGGCTGGGATTAAAAATATTCGCGGTTTAGTGGAAATTTTCCTATTTTCTTACATAAAAGTTAGGGTCTATTTTACCCGCTAATTATTGTCCGATGGTCGCCCGAATTGTAGGTTTCAGCCCAGCCCTAAACTCTAACTCCATGTATATTTTAGCGTCGATTGGTTAATAATTGTGACCTATAGAGCATCATCAATTGTGACCTATATGCGATCATCTTCAAAAAAAGGGGTTCTATTCTGCCCTTAACCCCACCTCCATTTTCAATTTCGAGAGGATCGGTTTATAATTGCGACATGTAGCTTTATTACAAATTAACATAGACAGACGGACGAACGGACATACATAGTTAGATCGACTCATCTCGGCGAGATAGGAAGATCCACATATACTTTCCTATGTGTGAAACGAATATTTCGAGGTGTTACATAATTTTTGGCCCAATCAAACTTATAATACCCCCAACACGTAGTGTTGTAGGGTATAAATATTTATTAGGCAATGGATATACCGGACCGAGTTTCACCAAATGTAAAATTCGGTTGAATATGAAAAAATCTATTCAATTTGGGAAGATATTATATAAATGGTAATCAATGACTTAAAATCGGATGAAGATGTATATCGAAGCTATATAAAAATCTGAACCGATCTCGATAACATTTGACAGAGGTATGTCTGATGTCCGGTATCAAATATCATTGTTGTGGAGGGCATATTATGCATGTGAGGGACTTCAACACCAAATCCGAAAAACATATATGCGAGCTATAGCTATATATAAATCGATTTTCACCAAATTTGAAGTATTTGTTTCTAGGATGAATACAGGGCTGAAATTAGCCATTTGGTGCAAAATAAATCTGATATCGGATAAAGATATATATGGGATCTATATCGTAATCTGATCCGATCTCGATAAAATTTGACAGAGGTATTTTCGAGATCCATTAGTTATCTTGTACCAAATATCATTCTTGTGGAGTGCAAATCACGCATGTGAGGGAATTTAACACCAAATCGGATGAAACATATATGTGGGAGCAATAGCTATATCTGAATCGATTTTCACTAAAATCTGAAGAGCTTGCTTATAGGCTGAATTCCATCGGAAGTGCCAAAATTCAGTTCATTTATGCTGATATTAGTCACTTGGTGCACAATAAACCTGAAATATGGAAACCATATCGTAATCTGATACGATCTCGATAAAATTTGACAGAGGTATTTTTGAGTTTCATAAGTTATCTGGTACCAAAAAGCATTCTAGTGGCATTCATTCATATTACGCACGTGGGACTTACACTTTAAATCAGTTGAAACATATATATGGGAGCTATAACTATATCTTGTTTCTAGACTGAATGCTGTCGGGAGTGTAAAAATTCAGGTCATTTGGGCTGATATTGGTCATCTGGTGCAAAATTATGGCGAAATCGGTTGATGATATATATGGGAGCTATATCTAAATTTGAACCGAGTCTCACCTTGATCGTCCTTGGGCCAAACAAATATTTTTTATAGGGAGGTACCGTTATATGGGGGACATACGATATCGAGGACCTATATAGACAATACTCTTCGAGGAGGTACTCAGAAGGAATTCATTATGTGGATTTTCAGACAATTGCATTCAACAATTTGGATACGATCATCAAAACAGCGAATATCGGTGGATACTGTTATAAGAGGGCTATACGATATCGTGGACCGATACAGCCCATCTTCGATCTTGACCTTCCTGCAGGCAAAAGATTGATCTGTGTAAAATTTTAGCTTCATATATTTATTCGTTTTGACTCTAGTGTGATTACAACAACGGACGGACGGGGTAAGTCGTCTTAGAATTTTACGCTGATCAAGAATATGTATATATACTTTGTTTGGTCTAAAATTATTATTTCAATGAGTTACAAACGGAATGATGAACTTAATATACCCTCCATACTATAAATGGTGGAGGGTATAAAAACCATGCTTCAATTAATTTTAACAATCTTGAAAATATTTGAGTTTTTCACAGTTTCTTAGAAATAATTTAAGATAATGCCAGTCTATTTGACTAATAATAGTAAAAGCCGGGCGGGGCCAATTTTATGATTCACTACACCCATTTGCATATATAGTAGACCTCGACATAACAAATAAAAGTTTTTATGGGGAATTTGTGATTTGTATTATTATTCTCCTCTGAATCGATTTCTACTAAATTTGCTGGGAATTTTGTGTATTTTCAATTCGGGCTTATATGTTCATCTATTTGGTGCACAATTAAATTTAAATCGGATAAAGATATATATCAAATCTGATAAATTTCGCTCAATTGTTTGGAAATCCTCTTGGTGTAATACAATATAAATATAGAGCTTAGTTGTCTGTTAAATAATGCCGAAAGGTTTTGAAATGATTTACTTCATTATGAAGGAAATATACCAGACATGTTTGTTCTAAACACACTTATGAAACATTTTTGAATAGAAATACACAAATTAAAACATTGATGATAAATAAAAATATTGGAGGAAATTGTTTGAACAGCTTTTTTAATAATGCCTTGAACTCGAAGAGACCTTGTATTTTAGACCAGAGCAACCTTTTATACTTTTATTAAATCAAACGAATATGGCATGCCTGGTTAATTTCCCGTTGGGACTAGCTCAGTTATTTCTTGTGGGAGAGAAACTTCACTCAACTGAAAAAAATGAGAAAAAGTAAACAAACGACTTTCCGTCTTAATTAGAGAGGGAGAGAGAGAGAAATGGGCTAAGATTCGTTATGGAAGATCTGAAGATGAAAACCTCTCTCCGCCTACCGAACCACACTACAGTTTTCCAGCGGAAATCCAAGCAATCCCAGAGTCTCAGAACTGATTTAGGACTAATAAAAGACCAACTATCATAAATATCCCAATGGACAGTAAATTCGCCATGAGGGCAATAACAGCCAACACAGTTAAGTCAAGAACTGTACTGAACTTAACAACTATCCAACTATTCTCAACAGGGATCAGTACGCATAACATGGATACCAAGTCATAAAGGGAATAAGGAGATAACAAGTAAAAGGGACATAAATATGAAATGTAATTAAACCATCTAAAGGTTTTGCGAATAATTCTCAGCAAAAAAAAGTGTCAAAAACTTGTTATCTTTTTCCTAACATCAAAATAATATATTAATATTTTTTTCTCTTCCAGGGAAAATGCCTCTGTGGCCAATACATTCGGGCCAGACTAAGACGAGCCGGTGTCTTAAATCGCAAAGTGATACAGAGAATGCGTAGTCTATTGGAACCATCCTCAGAAATTGTTTATGAAGTCTTTCCGGCACTAAATAGTGTGAGTAACTGCATAACCTACAACATCAACTAACAAATCAATGTATTTAATAATCTTTCTTCCTTCTTCTCTCACCCTGCTGCCACACAGATGGGCGAAGAACTGGAACGCATGCATCCACGTATCTACACAAATGTTTCACGTCAACTTTCCCGCGCACCCTATGGCGAACTGGTGGATAGCGATACAGCGCCCATGCTAATGAATCTGGTAGCGAAGCAACTTTTCTCACGTAGCACCGCCGAGAAGGAACGCATCACATGGGCGAAAATCATTTCAGTCTTTGCCGTGTGCGGTGGCTTTGCCATCGACTGTGTGCGTCAAGGTCACTACGACTATTTGCAGTGTTTGGTCGATGGTGTGGGTGAAATAATCGAAGATGATCTAGTCCATTGGTTGGTGGAACGTGGCGGTTGGATGGGTTTGCAACAGCACATAAAACCCAAGGGTTCACAGACGTTTTCTTTTTTAGATTGGCTAACGCTGTTCGTGGCGATCTCGTCAAGTTTTTATGCCGTAGCAAATTTCCTTAAACAGCTGGGTTGTCAAATGTATTCGTTGATATTTTAGGAAGTAAAATATATTTTGAAAGAGAAATTATGTAAAATTATTAAATTATTTATTTGTAATTATTATATATATTAAGTTTGATATATGTACGGACATACATTTGTTAAATGGTTGTTTGTAAACGAAATCCAAAACTATATCATTGTTATAGAAAACACGTGTACGTCTTTTTTTAGTCAAAATGGTTAAATAATAATTGTTACATTTGAAAAAGAAAAGTTGTGAAATTTTAGTCACGTTTTAATTTATAATTTGTAGTGGACATGATATGTATAAAAACAGATGTTCACTCATGGTCCATGAAAAGTTTAAATTCAAACTGTTATACAGGCCAAAATTTTTGATTTAAAAAAAAATATAAAACATGTATGATTTTATATTTCGATAGAACAAGTAAGCCGGCAAGGCGACTCAGGGCCATCATATAAAAATATATTGGGTTTTGAACATGATTTTATCATTAGTAGATACTCAAGTTTAGGAAAATAATTGGTTTTAAATACTCTCAGCCATACGATGGCCGGTTATTGATTTTTTACCCTCCATCATACATAGTATGGAGAGTATATTAAGTTCATCATTCCGTTTGTAACTCATCGAAATAATAACTTTAGACATAACAAAGCATATACATTCTTGATCAGCGTAAAATCTAAAGCGGTTTAGGTCTGTCCGTCTGTTGTAATCATGCTAGAGTCAAAACGAATAAAGATATGAAGCTAACATTTTGCACAGATCAGTCTTTTGTGTGCAGGCAGGTCAAGTTCGAAAGTGGGCTAGATCGGTTCACAATATCGTATAGCCCCCATATAACGGTACCCTCCCATAATCGGTATTTTGATGATTGTAGCCTATTTTTAATGAAATTGTCTGAAAATCCACAAAAGGAGTTCCTTATGAGCACTTTACCCCCTGGAAGAGAAATGTATATATGGGTCACAATATCGTATAGCCAACATACAACGGTACCCTTCCCCCAATATTCAATATTTTGACGATTTTAGGGACATTATTCACCGGAGTTGTTTCAAAATTCTTATTAAGAGTTCGTAATGGAAACTACAGTCTATGACATAAAATTGTCATGCAGGTCCACGTCTTCGTGTAGCCCCCATATGTCGGTACCTCCCGATACTCGGTATTTTCATGATTTTTGCGAGATATTCGCCGGAATTATAACAAATATAGTTTTTAAAGTCCGTAATGGGTACTACAGCATACGACAAAAAAATCGTATGCAGGTTCACGTTTTCGTGTTTCCACCATATAACGGTACCTCCCTATATTCGATATTTTAATGTTTTTGGCGATATTATTAACTGGAAATATTTAAATTTCAAATCAAATTTCATTTAAGTGGTAGTTTGCGGATTTTTTTGAAAGCTTTCAAATTCCTACATTTGAAGGTTGCTCACATAATTTTCAGCCAAATTGACTAAAGAGAAACATCTTCATAAAAAAAAATATTTTGGATCCCCATAGCATTTATATTTAATATTTTGAACTGGAGCACAGTTCCTAGTAAAAATGTTTCAATGCAAAAATTTGACGAAATTGACTTGGAAAGTATGACTAAAAATTTTACTAAAAAATTGGCTATAAATACGGAAAAAGTGCTAAAATTTGTCGAAAATAAATAAGTTTTTCTTTATAAACCAAAATTTATTGACTCGTTTGAGGGTTGACATTTCTTTTTTAAGTGCAATATTGCCGAAGATACTCTACACCTAAAATGCGCGGATTTCGAGGAATCTTTATCCGAAAATATTCAAAACTCTAGAAGAAAGGGGAACTTGCACCCTCCAATTTGGTCACTTTTCGATGTTAACTTTTAAAACGCAGATACCCATGCCTTCTGGTTTTAGCTCAACTTTCATAATCTGCTGGATTTTCCTCGTAATTTTTTTTTTGTGTTGCAGATTATAATATACTATATGATAAGACCAGCTGTGAAAGACGTCTATTTTCATTCTTTTTAATTTTGGAAACATTTCAAACAAGGCTTTTCCTTGGCCAATGAATCGTGGCTATAAAATTTCCTATAGATTTTTAGCAATATCCAATTGTTTTTAATCAAATTAACATAACAAAAAAAAATTGGCGACCGGGACTTTGTCTGTGCCTATCCCGGCCTAAATGTGATTCCATCCTTGTCGAGGGGAGTGCTAACTGGCTCTCCTTCCAAACAACACGATGGCGGGAAACGAGAACAAGTATATCTAGCTAGAATGAAACAAAAAAGCATATGAGAATTATAAGCATCAACTAACTAAGCATTTAATTTCATTTCACCACCCAATGTAGTCATAAATGTGGTTTGTGTCCATGCTAAATAAGAGAGTGGTAAATTGACTGCGGCATTGCCAGATGTAATTGTGAAAAGAAAAATCCACAGTACATTCCACAATTTAAGAAATATACTGCCCAGCAAACTAAATGGAGTTTGACTGATGCGAACTAGTAATTCCAATAGTTCTTTCGGACCTGAAACAAAACACATGCTGAAAATCCCTTTGATGAGTAACAAAATAAGAATTGTTGTTGAAACCCATACCAAAAGCTATATAAAATTTACAATTTCTACAATTAAAAATTACATAGATTTATTTAAAAAATTGTGTTTAAAACACCTAAAGTTGTGGGATAATAAGCGGCTTGATATCTGGGGTTGGATTCTTGTTCTATAAAAATATGAAATGAAAAATATGTTCTTTATAAAAGTTTTCATTTCACATTTTCATACAACAAGAATTGAGGCCCTGTTCCGATCCAGTACTGCAAGAATGTAAATTTTTTACTACGAAACTTGCAAAAATAGTAGATTCTTGCATGTCTAGGTATATTAATGTCAAATTGTATGGAAAAACAAGATTCGAGATTCGAGTGCGGCTCTGGCATCCCTTTTTGATATGGCTCAAAATATGTCTTGCGAAGACTTTAAGCTGATTATACAAAGACCTAAAGATGCAAGTACATAAAACAAAGACATAGAAGTATAAAGATGGGACAAGACAGAGTCAAAATATTGTCACCAGGTTTAAATACCTCTGTTGTTACGATATCATAACAACATACTCATCAATGTTAAAGGAATTTAACAACAAATGCAATTTTCAATTAATTGAAAACGTCAAAGAATGCAATTTTTAGTCCAAATTTTTGGTTTACAGAAAATGTTATTCTTAAAATTGCTCTGTAAATACGATTTTTATGCCAACATGTCACTGTTGTGAGCAGCGCCCCTATATATTTTTCACATTAACTATTTTTCCATTATGCATTTTGTCCAGTCTTTACCATTTGAGGTCTTTGCATAAAAAAATTGAAGTCATGGCTAGGCATATTAATGTCAAATTATAATGGAAAACGACGGCAGGATTTTAGTGCGGCTCGGTAATCCCTTAATGAAATGTCAGAAAATATGCCTAGCCATGACTTCAAGCTTCTTATGTACCTTTACCTCTAAAATGGTAAAACCACCAAAAAGTCGAAAAAAGGCCAATTATGGGGGTCAACCCAAATTATTGCTGACTCTCTTACCTTTCCAAAATGCTACAATTTGTGCTAATACCTTTTCTGAGTCCAGAGATATGGGTCATTCCATCCGAATAACCCGACCACTTGTTCGATAGGTATTTTCATAAGTTTCCAACGTGATCCGGGGTCTTGAACTCGTACATTCGGGTCAAAATTCGGGAAAAAATCGTTCCCCGGGTTCAGGGTAAAAATAATTACCACTGGAAGAAATTTCGAAAAAAATTAAGAGTGTTTACTAAACTAGAGTTAAGCATGACCAGATTCCGGATCGTCTGCTACCAATTGTAGAACGAAACGGACGGAAAGTCTAGGAGGCGACAATGTTCTGACACTGACCTTATAAACGATAATGTAACCAAAAAGCAGATAGCAATCCTACAAATTGTACAAATCAGCCCGTAAGGGCTGAGCCAGGACAGTATCCCTGTAGGCTTCTAGGAAACCCACTGCCTAAAGAGAAAAAGGATATGGTCTTATAGTCTCAGTAATCCAACACCAATTTGCTTGGTAAACACCGACAGGCCCACACTCTCTAGGCAGGAGGCAATAGAGGTAGAAATAGGACTGAGCGGCGTCTTCATTCATAAAAATAGAAGTGCCGCTGAGTTCTAACAACACCAAATATACGGACTTACAGACCACTAAAAAGGCTGCGAGGAAGAAAAGAAAATCTAAACCTGTTACACCCCCGAATTCGGCCATGCAGAGCGCATCAGTTGATTCATCAGCGCAATCCGTTACAACGGAGAAACAACAGGTGGAAAGGGCAGACTCAACTACAACAAAGGCTATAGAGTGTGGACTTAAAGGTATCTTGTCTGCTGAGTTGTTGTTGAAGCAGATTCTTACTTCAAGTTTAAAAACTCGCATATCTTTACCGGCTCCCAGCCAGTGGGTGCGAAGAGGAAGATGCGGTCGACGGCACCACATGGTACCGAATACTTCGTTGACGGCAAAGATGGATAGTGGGAAGTACACTAACACAAAGGCGAAAGCCGTTCCTATTGTTCCTGTTCCTTCACAGAAACCTTACGACCTAAAACCGAATCCATATGTTACAGTTGATCAACGGATGGTACCGGATGACTGACCCCAATGAGCACATTGAAGATCGTCTGATCGAATAGAATTTACAGTCGGATTAGGTCAAACAGATTGGTCGGACGGCAATTTATAAGGAAGCCTTAATAAAAAATAGAAGATTCTCACATTTTTATGCGTCGCGCTTATTAAGATTCAGATTCTTAGACTTTGGATGAAAAGATAAAAACTTTACCCCAGTCGTACTTGGACTTCCGGAACAAAGTCCCCTGTAGAGTGAAACTTGGAGTTAGAACCAGATTAACAACGTATAATGTTATTACAACACCAACACAACAACAACAAACATTTGGTTCAAAACAATTACCAAAACACATTAAATTTGCGGTACCGTCATATGGCGGACATACCAAAACGTAGGCCTATATGATGCGTTTTCCACACCACAATTTCTACGGACTTAAAACATATCTCTTTAAAATTTAACAACCTAATTCTCTTCTTTCGGAAGCTAGAATGATTTCCACAGACGGACGAACATGACTAAATTGACACACAATTGTTGTGGGGTCTAGAATAGTTATTTCAAGGAGTTACAAAAGAAATGATAAACTTAATATACCCTCAATACTATAGTAGAGGTTTAAAAATTAAATACAACTTTCTCTTCTTATATACGTGTTTCAGTTCCAGTTTCCAGAGCCTTTAGTATGTTGTAAGTCACTACTTCTTCTCCGTAAATTCCCCATCTTATGTCAAGACTATAATTCAAGTTAAAAAAATCGAAAATATCATTCTTTTATTGCCATTATAAGCAAACTTTATTTAATAATAGGAAAAATAATTGTAAACTATTTATGTATACTTAAATAAAAATTATACTCTACATATACTTAACAAACATTCATGTATAAGTTATAATGAAATAATTAGTTTGTGTTCTTTAATCAAGAAATTAATGAAGTATTATTAAACAATAACAACAAGGAAATGGGATAATTATTATTAGCAAGGAATGGGATGGGGGGTCAGATCAGGATGATGAGGGGTGTGGGTGGATGCTGGTGATGTTGTTTTGGGGAGGTGGTTAATTACACATTTAAGGATTTCAAAAAATTGCTATTAGTTTAAATTTTGTGGGTGAGGGAAATAATTTTCCAGGTGAATTACTTAAAACTATTTGTATAACAAATAACTTAAATGCGGAAAATTGTAAGCAGAAAAGAAAACTATTCATAAAATACATTCTAACTGTAAATCAATTAAATTTTAATAATGTCCAAATATAGTATTGTTTATGTTATAGTAATAACTAGAATAATAATATTAATAATATACGGAATAATAGGTTGAATTCATTTTGTTAAGGATATGTGATGATTAGATGCTATTTAATTAGGAAAACTAAATTTGTTTGTGGGACAAAAAAGCGTATTATATATGAGGTATAAGATAGTAAAGACAAAATTGTCATACTTCAATGTCTTGGATTTCAATAAGGGTATTTTCTTATGAGGCGGCAGGCTATTTGTTTAAGCTCAAAAAACTGGACGGCTGATCTTTACAAATCAACCTTATACTGTGGATTGGTTGCAGCTCCCGGCATTGATGCTTGGCATTGTGGTCCATTTACATTTTACTTTTCTGATTGGCCACAGCTTCCAGGCGTTCAATAACTTTTGTTAAATCCATTTCCTTATTGATTTTTAGGTACATAGTCTTGCGCACTTCGTGGAAGGCCACCCAAGCCGGAACTTCTTTGGCAATGAGTTTCAAATGTTTTTCAAGTTCTTGTGCCGTTAGACTGGTACGGAAACTGTTTTGTATTTTCTTGACAACAATTTCTTGGGTTAGAACCCCCTTGCGTTCGGTGATAAAAACATTGCGTAAATGGCGTGCCAATTCAGGTAGACGTGAATAGTTAGCTGCCTCTAGATCTTGTGAAGGTCTACGTGTCATGGCATCCAAAGCTTTTGCTGCTTGTTTGGCACGAATTTTTTCCAGTAAAGATTTCGGTACGCCCTTCAATAAACTAGATGTGTCTGGCGCTGCTGGTGTTGTGGGAGTTGCTGCTGTTGTTTTATTAGATTCTGCTTCCTTGTTCTTGTCATTGCTTTCCTTGGGGATTTCTTTATTACTGGCTGGTTCTTTAGATGTCTCTGCCTTGGTGTTGTCAATGTTTTTCTTATTTTCTGCCTGCACCTTATCGGCCTCAATTTTCGCCTCATACCGTTCTAAGGCCCTTTCCATGGGGGTAGCACAATTAAAGAGATTTCTGGCCGTCGAAAGAATATCTTTGGCCGATGAATATTTCTCTACATTGGGTGGTTGTGGCAAATTGCCCAATGGAATTTCGGGACAATTTTCCAAATCAAAATCTGGATGCCAACGTGTTACTTTTTCTCTGGGAATGGAAAGAGGTGGATCCAGTGAGAGCAAGAATTTCTCATGTTCCTCTTTGACTTTTTCCAATAGTAAATGTTGGAATTTCTGCAATCTTTCGGTCATAACATGGGGATTCATGGAGTTACTCTGGGCCGAGCTTAGCACATCGTCTTCATCAATTTTGTTCATTTTCATTTTTTCTGGTAGATTTTCTACATTTGGTGCAATGACCAATTGGAAGTAGTCAGCCTTCGAGGCTGAGCCATAATTACGCATTTTCATTTGTGAAAATATGAAAGCATCTGGATAGAGATGCTTGATTTGGGCCAAATGACGTTCATAGAAGTTTTTGCGCAACATCCTTTGTACGGCCGGTTTCAATTTCTTAAAGGTTATGCATTCACGACGATTATGGAACATTGCACACACCGAATCGAGGCCCTTGAATATTTCAATAAGATGACGATATTTATAGGGTAAAGGTAATTGGCCAGCTTTACTTGTTTCAGCCAAAGACATGAAACGTTGATAGGCTGGCGGAACTATCATCTTGGAGGGTGAACCATGTTTGGCCGGGCTGAAGAGTACACGCTTCGAAACATCGGTGTGACGTGGTGACATAAGTTCATTTTTATCCGGTGTTGGAGGTGGAAGTTTTGTGGGTGTTTTAAAGGTTTTTGAGGGACTGCAAAAAATTGGAAGAAAGCGAGAATTGGATGAGTATTTAATCAATTTTGTAGAATAATTATAGATATTATAACTTTGAAGAGAAGGTAAATGAGTTTCGGTAATTGAATCTTAATTAAAAATTACAGGGACTATTCTATTTTCATTAATACTTGGAAAATGTCCATGCCCCCTGAAATTTTGGAGAAAATTCTCATCATAGCTTCGTAAACATCCATTCAACTTGCATATACCAAATACTATCCCAATAGTAATTTTACTACCTCTATCTTCCGCAAATATTGGCAAATAGTTCAAGTTTAACGAGACATATTTAAAACTACCTTGACCTATCCTATTTAAAAAATTCCCGCCCTATATAAATTCTAGCAAACATTACCACGTTTATTTATTGACGTTACAATAAAACCCAAGCTGTTGACATTCACCCATAGAGTAGTAAGAATAATATTAATAAATCAACGTTTCATAGTTGTAGTTGGCCTACAAATAAACAAAAAACAAAACCAAATAGAGTTGGAGCAAAAACTTGTGGCTTCAACTAAAGCTTGACAACTTCGTTTTTAGCATTATCAACAACAATTGAGGTCATAATTTTCTTTTGGAATAGGTATGCCAAAAAATGCTTAGATTGCATTAAAAACACGCCAAGAGCAACTAAGATTTACATTTAATTCTTCATCACCGACAGAATTGAAGAAATTGTAAAAAAATACGTTAATTTTTAACCAAATAAATACAGCACCCCCTATTACAAAAATGCTAAGCTAAGTATACATTTGTTATGTGAAAATTACAAAAGGATCAAGGAATGAAGGAAGCAACTAATGAACTCAAAAGGGGGTTGTTTGGCTGGTTGATCGACCCTATAAAGCGGCAATTAATGTAAAGGAATGCATCCGTTGAATGCAAAGTTATTTAATACCATATGTCTGTTATCTATGGAAAAATGTCATTTAATGTGTTCCTTTTCATTTGCCACTGTTGACCACCATATGTTTTTCAAATTTATTTGCATTTTCCTATGACATTTTCAATTTTTCATATGGTTCCCGGATATCTTTGTTGTGATCCGTTGCAATTGTATGTATGTTATTAAAAATGTACGTTACAAGATCCTTTTCATATGGGTGGTGGGGTAATGATTGTTATATTTTTCTCAAGGGTTTATTTACCAGCACATGCACAAATTTTATATTTAATTTTGGTTCTTGTGTTTTGTTGTTGTTTCCTTTTCTTAAACGAAACCTCATAACTATCATGTACACATTATGTTTGTGTCGTGGATGTGTACTTATTATTCTTCTTCAAAAAAAGAGGGTTGTTTTTGTACGTTACAAAAGTAGCTGGGCATACAGACATTATTCCTAAAGATCGTCGCCGTCTGGTTTGGGAAGAAAGAAAGATAGGAAAAAAGAAATGTGTGTTTTGTGCATGAGAAGGCAATACATTCTTTTCATTCACAGCCAACAACATTTTCTTTATTCTCCATTTGGTTCAGGTAGTCAGCCAGCCGGTTTGGTATCAAAATTCTAAGTAGAGTTGTTGTTTGTTTTCATTTTTTCATATGCCATTGTGAAAAATAGAAAAAGGATACGTGCTGAAGCTGGAGGTTTAGAAATCGCTTAGTCCATAAATAAGATATGAGAAAATGCCTATGGTAGAACCAGAAAATGTAACGGAAAATGTCTTATCCATTAAAGGGAAATTGCAGGAAAGCGACAAAAAGGTCAGGGGTGGCAGTTTCCTTACAGACATGTAGAAAGGAAAGTAAATAAACATAATTCTTTGATCAAGGATGGCATTAGTAAGACATTGTAAACATCTGAAAAGTACGTTACTTTTGAAGATATAAATTTATGTTTTCAATTAAAGCAGAACTTTGCCTTGTCGATATGGGTATAACTCAGCATTATTTTTTAATATGATTTTAATTTGTATAATGGACTTCTTCAGCCAGGAGAAAATATAATGCTTCTTTAGTAATTACAGCTCTTAATTAGTGGCTTTTTATTGAAAATCCTGATCAAAGTAGTCTGTAACTTTCCCCCATTTTTCAATCCATTTTATAGCAAAGCAAACATGGAACAAAGAATAGGACCATAACATTTCTTTATATTGACTTTATAGCTCCACGGCTTCAACTGCTTAGAAAAATAAAATATTGAAAAAGTAAATTAAAAACTCCTGAACAAAGAACTGACATTCCGGTTACTTATCTATAATTTTCCTCAGGTTTTTGGGTTTAGTGGTATTTTTCATTTTATATATTTGTTTTACCCTACACCACACAATTTTGCTTTTAGTATTATGTAGTATACACATACATTTTTATATTGTCCACTCGCAGACTGTGTGTATGTGTGCGTGATAAAGCAAAATATTGGAAGGCAGTATGTGTGTGTGTGCCTGTCTTCTATATTATCTGTGGTCTACCAACAATGAGAATATAATTTTGTTGTTAATTTATATTAGGCGGGAAAATGTGGTAACTAAAATACCATTAAAAATGTGGAATCGTCTGTTACTGTGGAGAAACATATCATCCCATTTATCTTCTCTTCATTAACAAAAGAAAGAAATAAATTACAACAAAATGTGTTCTTTGCTTACCTTGTCAAAACTTCCAATTCAATTTTATCGAATTCTTTCAATTGTAGCACTGGAGTTTTCTTTGAGGGTGATTGCATATTTTCCTTAAGCTTACGATTGCGTTCCTCCTGTTCCTTGCGAGTCTTCTCCAGCACCTGTATACGTGCCAGGGAAGCTTTAAGTTCTTGCAGCTTAGCACTGCGCGATACTTTGGTCTTAACTTCTTCAAAGGTAAGCTCTTTCTTGACCATTGATTTAAGTTCACCTTGTTTGAGTGGGGTATTGGAGCCTTTGATAATCTGCTTGGTAGGTGTCTTGAAGCCACGTTCCACATTTTTGGCATTGTTTTGTGAATTGAAAGCATTGATAATTGTACCCGAAGGTGTGGATTCATTAACCTTTTGTCGGCTTTTTGGTGTGGGAACTTCCACTGGTTTCTTACGTGGCGACAGTGTGCCTTTTTTAATAAATTGTACTAGTTTTTGTTGCTTAATGTTTTCCTCGATTTTGGACATTTTCTTGGGCGACACCCCACTGTCCGGCACCTGGCTGGGATCTTGTACACCAATGCGCTTGACAGTGCGTCCGGAACGGGTACGCATACCCATTTTCTTAAGAGCTGCAATTTCATCATGTTGGTCCTGTTGAGCCTGCTGAGCCTGCTGAACAACATTTTGTTGGGTATTCTGTTGTGTAGTTGTTGTGTTGGCATTTGAGTCTTGTGTAGTTGGTTCTGAGGTTTCCAGAAGACGCTATTAAGAAAATAAATATATTTAAAAAAATATTAAAATCAACTCTTATTCTTTTTTCCTAAATATTTCTCAAGTTTTTTTTTCGTAATTTATAACAAAACAAGAATTTTAATGATATCATAAAGCGTCTCTGCAACCACGCTGCCTCTAAGCAGGGGATGATTAGCTGCTACTACCAGCATGTGTATTTGTTGTTCATAGTTGAAACGACGCATTTATGTTAAAATTAATTCAATTCCTTTTAAAGGATATTTTTTGGATAAAATTAAGCAAAAACTTACTCTAGTTTTAATAGTTGTTATATCCTCTGCAACAGCACGTTTTCTGGTATTAAAAAACGCTGCAATTGATGGTTGAGCCATTTTCCTTATTAGCTTCTTTAAATTTGTTAACAAAAAGATTAAGTTATTTAAAATATTTTCTTATTGCTTTCTTTTTGTTTATATGCACTTTGTTTTCCTTCTTTATTGAAGGATTATTCTCTTGTGTTGTATTTTATTTATTTCTATTAACACTTTTCTTTATTTCATTCCAGGGTTAAGTATATTTTCTTTACCACCACACACAGTAGGTCTTTAGTCTTTGTTGGATAAATTGGTTATGATGGTTGGTCTGACTACAGCACACGTCGTCTGGTTATCCCGCTCAAATTTCTACTGACAAGAGTTTTTCCCTCCAAAAGTTCAGTCAACGACGAACGCATGACGTTGACGTTTGGGTTGACGTATAAAATTCCTCAGCCGACGTCGTTGCAAACGCGCCAAAAATTCTGTCTTATCTTTGTTTATATTTTTTCGTGCGGAGTATGTGTGTTTGTATGTACGTGAAAGTAACAGCTGATGATCAGCACACAACTACCAATAAACCTCTAACGAAAGGGGGTCAACCTATTCCAAACAACAAAGTGGCATCTCGAGCCCAACGACATCAATCAGCTGTTTGCTATGCGAACAATGGATGATGGCGTAGTATCTTTGTAGTTTTATTTTATGTAGTTTTTCACACTTTTAACCTATAATTTTTATGTTTTAATGTATCACAAACAATCATTTACAAAAATACTGTACAAAATAAGACTAGAAATTGCTTAAACACACACTTTTTCCACGCACGAAATGACACACGAAATCTTCACCAAATACCGTTGCTACGAAATACATTGACAGATTGCCAAGAAAAATGGCTTTCGTTAAGGGTGCTTTAAACTACCGGATTTTGTGTCAATAAATGCGATATCATTTAATATAGCATAGATGGATTTTCAAAAAAAAAAAAACATGATCTATAAATTTATGTTTGTGGCAGAACTACAAGAATATAAAAGTTTTTACTACGATAGCCGATTTTCCATTTATGATATCGAAAAATCTTGCAAAAGTACTGTATTCTTGCAGGTTCTGGAACCATAGTAGAAGAATATAGGTAGACGCGTCGACACAGCTGCTGGTACAATGAACTGTCAAACAAATTTTGAAGTTGAAAATTTTGAATGAAAAATTATTTAAATTTGTTAAAATTGTTGAAAAACGCGAATTATAATAGCCTCCGAGTGACGTAGTATAAGAAAACATATAAAAATCTACTTATATTTGACATATCAATGCTCCAAAGCGTTGATGCATCTACATGTATTCTTCTGCCATGTTCTGGAACAGACCAAGTGCGTTATGATACAGAATTGCAATAATTTGGTTATTCGCTCTGACTTTTTACGCATGTAGTTGTTGTTAAAATGCTACCCTTAACACATTTATAGATTTTTCCGAACGAAATCCATACACAACCATATACCAGTATACAATAGTCTAGGTATAATTTAGATCTAGTATCGGGTATTACTTGGATCTTAGATAATAAGTATACACTTTTCCACAGCTTTAGTGATATTTGAATTCTGTAAGACTAAGTTGAAGATCTAAAAGCAGATATTTGATATATCAAAGACCTCTGGACCTAGGAAGGGACTTATAAGATCGGAAAGATATCTGACAGCGTATCTTTTAATTTATCGTTTATTTCAACTGTCTCATTGGTTCATAGATCAGCCTCCACTCATGACCCATTCCGTTACCTCTTTCTATATCCTGAAAAGCATCAATGTCCTAAAAGGATTTTTGCACTGGTGGATGGATTTCGATTTAATGGCACATAAAATAAGTGCTTTGTGGACCTCCTGACTGTCCACAAATATTTTTTGCCATTGTACTCTTATTACGTTTATGTGCTCTTATTGCACGAATCTTGGCCTTGAAATGCTGCAATTGTAAGTAAAGGCCTGTTTACGTTAGAGTTTTTTTCGGGTTAACCTTCTGAAATGACAATTTAATTCCTTTACAGCGTTATCATACCTATGATAGAAGAATACAGGTAGTCGCTTCGACACAGCTGCTGGGACAATAAACTGTCAAACCGATTTTGGAATTGAAAATGTTGAATGAAAAATTATTAAATTTGTAAAAATTATTGAGAAATGCATATTGTAACAACCTCCTATTTGCATCGTATAAGAAAATATATAAAAATGTACTTATTTTTGACAAAACAATTTTAAAATTTTGACATATCAATGTTCGCAAGCGTTGATGCATCTACCTATATTCTTCTACCATGGTTAACTCATATAAAATGTTGCATCTAAACGTGCTATAAAACATTTACATGTGAAAACCGTTAAATTATTAAGGAAGTACCATTTATAAAATTGCATGAAATTCTTTGTTACATGACTAACACAGATCGAAAGACAAGACAAGCTTACAAAATTAAATGTTTAATGTCATAATTCTGATTGGCATCTTGGTACAAAAAATAGACAAATGTCAAAATGAAAGTATACAAATTTTAGCATTTAATTTGATGTTTAAGATTTGCTGAAAACAAGATGTAATAAATCCAAATATACCAATTATAAGGCTAGGAATAATCTCTAATCACGCGAGCGCCATGCTAAATACATATGCGGCAAATACATCCTGATGGATCGAATGTCATGATGTAAACGTAGTCTAATGGCTTAATAGTTATTTTTTTACTATGCATAAATCTTCCACCAGATTTAATAATTCCAGTACAAATCTTGCACCGTTAACATATACTTTGCGATGATTACAGTCAGCTGATAATTGTTTACGTATACATAAAAATAAACAAAAAATTCTAGAATTAAGATATTTAATTATCTCAGCAGCATTACATTGACACCCAAATTATGAGTATTACGAAGATTCGTTATTTTTTGATAAGTTCGGTGTAAATTAGGTTTAAATCCTGCTATCATGAAAAACTTATCGAAAATGATCGAAGAAAGTTGCAAGACTAGTAGATTATTGCAGATACTGGAACAGCTTGTGAACATTGATATGTCAAAATTTTTAAAATGTTTTATGAAAAATAAGTGGATTTTTAAATGTTTTTTACGCGACGCAAATCAGAGGCTGTTATAATATGAATTTTCAACAATTTTTACAAATTTAAATAATTTTTCATTCAACATTTTCAATTCCAAAATCGGTTTGGCAGTTCATTGTCCCAGCAGATGTGTCGATGCGACTGCCTGTATTCTTCTACCATTGTTCTGTCATATTTATTATAACATAAAAATAAGTAAAGAACTTAGGCTGGAAATACATAAAGCGCATATTTGGCTGGCTTAAGTCATCGGCTGGCTTCTTCGTAAATGAACAAAGGAGTTTTAGGTTGACCTAGTTCGATTTTGGCCCTAGGCTCCTTTGTTCATTTCCGAAGAAGCCAGCCGATGACTTAAGCCAGCCAAATAAGCGCTTTATGTATTCGGTGCTTTAGGCTGGAAATACATAAAGCGCATATTTGGCTGGCTTAAGTCATCGGCTGGCTTCTTCGTAAATGAACAAAGGAGTTTTAGGTTGACCTAGTTCGATTTTGGCCCTAGGCTCCTTTGTTCATTTCCGAAGAAGCCAGCCGATGACTTAAGCCAGCCAAATAAGCGCTTTATGTATTCCCAGCTTTAGAAGTCTCAAAGTAGGTTTACACTTACTAAATCGAGTGGATTTCAGTTGTCAATTTTGATTGCGAATACGTCAAATGAAATCGACTCTCAAATCCAGTGGATTTCATTTAACGTATGCGGCGTTTTAAGTAAGTTAAATTGACAGATCTACTAATTTTACATTAAATAAATTACGTACCTTTGTAAACCGTGTAACCCAGAAATCTTAAAGAAGGAATTCGTGTCGAATAGGTATTTTCATTTTTTACCTGACACTAAACCCAACTCCATTTTCCAGAACAACTCCACCTGATCTTTTACAAACCAATAGCACATTTATGCCATAAGTATCAGTATTTTACTTAAATTTTGAATCTAGTGATATTTTTAAAAGTAAACTCGATCAAATCGAAAGAAAAATAATTCTATTTTCTACATTTCTCACTTTATTTATTCCGTACAGAACATTTTCTCTACAAAAATTTAGGTTGATGTTTGATACATTCCGAATCAAGCATCTTGTTGTTCTTGTTGCAATCGGCCAAAATGAAAGAAAAAATAATAAAAAAAAAAACAATTTTACATTTCCCACTTTATTTATTCTATAAAGAATTTTTTTTTACAAAAATTTAGGTTGATGTTTGATATTTTCCAAATCAAGCATATTGTTGTTTCTTGTTGCTGGCGTTGTTTCATTTCTGGCTAATGGTGATTGTGGCAAACGATTGCCACCAATTTGTTGCTGATAGGGTGAACATGCCTTGGGCGTCATATACACCGGGTTCTGTCTCTGCTGAACAGGTGATCTTACTGCGGGGCTATATGTTTGCTGATTCATAACTGGAGAGTTATTTTCGCGGGCAATTTGATTTTCACCATCCTCAATATTATCTTCGGGTAGTAAACGATATTTTTTGAGATATTTATACGAAGCATTTGATATATCTGAAGGACTACGTTCAAAGTTGTCTATATTACGTAGTGGGGTCGAGGGTGCAGGAGCATCTGGAAGAGGTTTCGGTGTAGGACAATTCATATTTAGTTCTTTCAGGAGTTCAACAAGCTTTTCATTTGGCAAGTATTTCAAAGCCAATTCATTCATCATTAAACTTTTGTCCGTGGTTGGTTTTGGTAATATTGCAGCCAATTGTTGGTTGTTATTCCACTCCACATAATTTGTTACAGGTTGTGTATTAGGAGTTGCTATCGCAGGAGTTACCTCTGGCTGCTGATATTCTTGCAGACGATTGGATTGGGGTGAATTTGGCCGATAGGTAGTCGATTGGGCCACCGGCTTGCCTTTTGGCGTTTGTAGAATATTTGGACTCTGTTTGAGTTGTTGTACAATTCTATTAGTTGCTACTGGTGGCAATGGTGTATGGCCATTGGTGATCGGTGAACCTTCTTTTATTTCAGTATTCACTTGTATTGCAACATCTTTACGTTCCGTATTTGGAGTTTTGTTAGCTTGTGACCTTATAAAGGTTTCCATCAGTTGAATGAGGCAATGTTGTTCATGCCTAAGTTCTTGTACAATTTGTTTTAAGTCTTCAACATCTTGTTTAGTAGCCACGTTGCTTGGCACCCCTTGTTGGAGGGGAGGGGAGGAGGAAAGTCCATCTGTTTGTGTACCCGCACAAATTGTTAATACATCTCTGGAACTACTGTAGGCCTGCGGAACTTGTGGCATATCCAATGATTTCCTATAAACAGGCTGTTGCTGAGTTGTGGTTTGATATATTCCACAGCTTTCAGTGCTCTTCCGATATGATGTAGGATTTGTTCCAGCCATACCACTACCAACAATAAACATGTTTGGATTTTCATTTGTGGTAGATGTTGAGGGGAACGGAATGGCCGAATTGACAATGTATCCATTGGTAGATGTGGGAGGAATTGTTGGATTTGCTATAGACCTCAATGGATAAACGGAGTTTATAGGGCCATTCAATCCTCCCTGGATTAGGTTATTGTTTACAGTGCCACCATGATTAGATGTTGTTTCTTGGCCGACAGACACAGGAGGTGGAAATGTTACCCTTGGCAACATTTGCTTCTTCCATGCGGCGTACGATGTGGTTTGCTGCGTCTGTTGCATGATTGGTGCCTGGGCTTGCATATTGTTCGTTTGTTGTCCAAATAGTATTGAAACCTCCGGTACTTGTGGTCGTACCAAAGGCTCATTGGCGCCCATTGTTGAACCACTGGGTTTTGGTGCCATTCGTGGCAACATATCCTCCGTTTCGGGTTGGAACATGTTTGATTGTTTGCTATCTTCTAATTGCACTTTACGTAAGTTCTTTTAGATATTTGTAGGCTTATTTTTTCGAGGAGTATTGTAGATAAAAGCGAAAAATGCAATATTTAAAAATAATTTTAATTGCTGTGGTGAATTTGTTTGGCATTTCACCAGTTTGTTTTGCTTTGTTGTTGTCGTTATTGTGAAGTTAGCCAAATGTGTACGTGATAATGCAACACATCCCACATCAAGTGATTACGCAACACATCCCATTCGTTGGTACTTTTTGTAAGGTAAGCAAATGGGAGAATTTTTTTTATTCGCTATGAACGAACTACTCTGCCCAAAGCCTATATACAGGGTGAGATGAAAAAACTGCAACTAACTTCAGACTGCTGTCATTTCTGAGCCACTCGTCCGGCAGCTGTTAAAATTATTCCAATGACTGCTCATTATATTGTGTACAAGCGTACAAAAGTATTTTGAAGAGAATTTTCCAGAAAAAAATTATTTATGACGTCAAGCGTGATAGTGTGAATTGTTGTTATTTTGGTACTCCTTCAGTTCGCCGCCAGAACTTAAGCGCCGGCCATGGTGATGGTGTGGGCCGCCATAACAGCCGATGATCGCTCTCCGCTTGTAGAATAAATGCCGAATATTATCGCGAAAATAGTCTGGAGGGTGCAAGCCTTGGGCAAGCAAACATTTTGGCCCCAGACTTTGGGCATTGCAACAGGACTCAGCACCATCGCACTCAGCACGCGCCACCCATGAATGGCAACAAAATGAGGTTCCTCGCTTCATTGCCTGCTCACAATAGCCACAAAAATCTCCGGATACCAATGCGTTGGATTATTGTTTCTGGAGTATTTTGGAAAGCAAGGTTGGTACTAAAAAATACCAAAGTTTCGATCACCTCAAGTAAGCGCTACCCCGGAAATGGGCCAAAATACCACGGAGCAACATTCGGGCAGCGAGTGAGGGTTTCATTGGCCTATAGAGGGCCATAATTCATGCCAAAGGTGACCAATTCGAACAAAACTAAAGTTATTCTAAAATGTAATGCTATTTCCGACATATTTCGCTTTCATCCAGTAAAATTTGAAAAAAAGTAATAATTATGGCGTTTGACTTTGTTGCAGTTTTTTATCTCACCCTGTAATATGTCACAGACTTAATAGGGAGAATAAATAAAAGGACTGTTTTCTGGCATTAGCCATAGTCTGGCCTTTTCGAAAAAAAAGAAACGACTTTAGAATGGTAGAATAATGCCATGGGACTGTAGCATGAACAAGTATAAGTTATAGTTCGGAATTGAAAAATATTAACATAAACTGGTTTTGTTCTTTCAGGTTAATGCAAAACATGTCTTGTGATATAATAAAACCTTTTGTATATTCTCACCTTAACATTTATAGCCAAAACGAATGAGTTACATCTAGTATCCGTTTACGTTTAATTGTGTAGCTTTTGCTATCTATCGTTCGTCCCCCGACTCAACTACACTGCCCTGTCAAAATCATATGTTTAATAAGAAATAAATAAAAAAATTCATCGTGAAGTTAGGCGTAATAAAGTGTTTTCTTTTGGAATTTGTGCTCAATTTATTTGAATTTGAAATTAAAGAGACCGTTTTTTTGTTTATAAATATTTTCCATAAAAATTCGAAAAATTATTAAAACCTATATCAACAATATGGCTGGTAGGTATCTGCAGACACCACATGGCTGTCGTAACTAACCTCGTGGAAAAAAGAATAACAAGTATTTGTTTACAAATTTTCACAGAAGATGAAAACGTTGATTTCATTGAAACTGGAACAGAAGACTGGTATACTTATGACCATTTGGGATATGAGACAACGGTAACAAATGTCAACGAGAGCAATGAGCTTCTGCATGCAGTCAACGTGGCAAACGAACAATATTCCCAATTGAATGGTTACCATGAAGTGAAATGTGAAGAGCCTGCAGCAGAAGAGGAAGAACAAGCTCATCATAATGTAATACTCAATTACGACGGACAGCCGGAAGATGTTGAAAATGATTTGTCCAAACATAATTTGGTTTTAAAAGAGATAATCACGGAGCAGGGTCTCATAAAGGAGAGCTATTTTTGCCAAGAATGCTGTACCCAATACAGCGACATCAATGACTTTCTACTACAACATCCGGGCATTGAATTGTTAAGTGAAAAACCGGAAGATGATGATGGTGACATTGAAGAGGATACTCAGGGAGAGTATGTTTCAGTGATAGATATAAAAAACGAAGGAGAAACTCAAGATAAATTATGGGATTTGGTTGAAAACGTTGTGGAGAAAGATGATGACAGCAATGTCAATGGTGGCGATGTTGATGAAGATCCAGTTATGTCCGATTTAATACAATTGAATAATAGTAACGGTCAACAAATGGAAAATGAAACTGTTACTAATGTCAATGAAGCTTTGGAAACGAAAGGTGAACATTATTTTTGCTATGAATGTCATCAGCTATTCAGTGATTTGAGATCGGCTGAAGAACATGATTGTGGAAAGAGGGTAGTTAATGAGACAACGGAAAATCCAGAGGCAGAGGAATTACATCAGCCGGAAGACGAGGATGAACTAGTTTGTAGTTATTGCCAAAAGGTGTGCTTGTCATATAATGATCTCATTGATCACATGACAAACTGTGAACAAAATGTAAGATTTGCTCTTTATTCCTTGCTAAAGTTCTGTGGTTTTTGCGGTAAATCGATTTTGTTAAAAATATTTGGCTCTTGGTTGATTTACGGAGCTCAACTAAGGCTGCAGTTCACATTGCCAAATTTAGCTGCAGGCCAAAAGAGAATTTCAAAGCAAAAGCTATCTAAATATGCACATTTACCTAACAAGTTTGTTCATGCAGCAGCATATTCTCATAACAATTCATTTTGCTCAATTATAAGGTCTGTTCCAAAATTGCAAGACTGTAATAATTTTTACTACGATAACTGATTTTCCCTTTATGAAAAAAATTAAGTTCCGGAACAGAGAAATAATAAATCCATGTTATGGAACACGAATTAAAAACTCAACCCTAATTTTTCAAGGTTGGCATAGGCAATTTGTTGTAAAAACCGCAAATTTCTTCTTTGTAAATAATTTATGTTTTATTTTTATTAAAATTGTCTTTTTTTTTGCAGATTTTGGTACCCATTACTACAGATGGTCAAGAGTTGTTTTCCTGTGATTTATGCCACAATAGGTATCCAAATTTACGGGCACTTTATAACCACCAACGATCACATAAAAATGTGAAGTACGGTGTTCCAGTGAAACCAGTTAAATGTGAAATCTGTAATACCATATTTCAAGCACCCAAAAATTTGAAGTAAGAGCGATATAATTTAGTTGTTTTAAGGCTTGTTTACATATCATGTTAGAGTCATATGAAAATGCCCTTATATTTAGCGTATTTGATGCATACTTTTAAGCGCTTCCAAAAATTGTTAAATTTTAAAGAAACACCTTATTATAAAAACTACGCGGTACCGTAGGCTTCATCAATAATATATTGATATTAAGCTTATATTACATATACTTTAATGTATCTATATAATGAAGCATTTAAATTTTAAAATAATAAGGATCGCCTAAAATCATGCTATACAATTATGTCAAAATCGCTTAACACAGAAAATTGTTTGAATGTAATTAAATTTCTAATTTTCCTGTTCTAGATTACATATGAAAATGCACGCCGAGCGTTCAGTAAAGTCGATACAAGAAGCCCTGCCAGCTGGTGCCCTCCCAGAATACAATGAGTTAAACCAATTTTTCTGTGAAATCTGCAATAAAAGGTAAGTAAATAACGCGAACATGCTATTAAAGAATAATATTATGATTTTCCAAAATTGTCATTCTAGTTTTGATCAACGTCTGCTGAACATACACAAGAACATGCATCAAAATGTTGAGGAATACAACTGTAGCAAATGTAACAAACAATTTAATAATATTAGAGACTATGAAATGCACACACAAATGCATTTTGAAACAAAAACCAAGAATACTTCGAACCACAATGTTACCACAGCGGCATCATCCGATGCTAATGGTAGTGATCCATCCCAAAATTCCAATAAAAAACATGCATGTCAGTATTGTGGAAAGGAATTTCAGCGTCCATATGAAAAAGTCAAACACGAACGGGTCCATACCGGAGAAAAGCCATACAATTGTGAAGTATGCGGTAAATCGTTTCGTGTCTCATATTCACTTACCCTACATTTGCGTACCCATACCGATATTAGACCCTATGTCTGCGCTATTTGCAATAAACGTTTCAAACAACAGTCGGTTTATGTACATCATCTGAAGACACATGAGGCCGAAAGGCAATACAAATGCGAAGAGTGTGGCAAAAGTTTTCGTACCTCCGTTCAATTGTGTGGCCATATAAATAGTCATAAAAAGCCCTTTAATTGTACAGAATGTAATCGACCGTTTGCCTCAATGTATGCCGTCAGGGTGCACATGAAAACCCATAATAAAAATAATAAGGCCAACAAGAATTTTAGCAATCGTTGTAATTTATGTGGGGCATCATATGCTAGAACATTTGCTTTACGTATTCATATGAAGGAGCAACATGGCATTGAAATGGATTCATCAACTGATCTAGAGACATCGCCAACAGCTTTAACTAAAAAATATTTAAATAAACCATCAGCAAGTGGGACCATTAACACAAATGAGAACATGGATTTCATTGACGAAGAGGAGGATGATAATAATGAATTGTCGAGTCATCAAGATGCCGATTTAGATGAAACAGAGGCAGCCACACAAACCATAATGCCCAAAGACGATGTATGTATGACGATTTCAGATGTTATTTTATTGTATAATATTTTAATCGTCATTCTGTTTTCAGATAATCGTTGATAATGCGGAACAAATCATAATGGAGTGGTTACAATAGTAGGCAAGATCGTTTTTATACTATTATCTATAAGTATGAAATTAATGTTTGATTATGATTATTGTAACGAAGTTTTTTTTAAGCGTTGTAATTAAGTATTTTTAAAACTCTGTAAATATAGAAAGTGGATTCAAATGAGAGTGTGAATGTTTTTAGCACAAATGGATCAAATAATACAAAAAGAAAATTAAAAATTATTGCCTGTATTTTTTATGTTTCCTCAGAGATGCGATTTGTTTTCCTGTTTCTTGCACGGTTTTAGTAAAACAATATACAAAACATTTCTATTCTGAATGAAAGAAAGGTGAACTATCAAGTAGTAGTAGAATTCTCTAACAAGTTAAAGACAGAATTAAAAACAATTGTCCAGAATTCGGAATTTAAATTGAGCATTCGGTCGGTAATTAGATTGCCAATTTCACTCGCAAGACAGGACAATACAATTTTGTTATGTTGGTGTACCGGCAATCGCAAAACAATAGCAGAATCAAAATCGCTCCTCTTTTCGTTTCTTAATTGCTGTCCTTGAAAATTATTGGCAGTGACAAAAATAATCTTCCCAATTTGTTTAATGCAAATCATTTTCAAGATTATTGCCTGATGTAAACGCGATGTAAGATGTGCCGATAGGAATAGCATCATGGAAGAAGAATATAGGTAGACGCATGGTAGAAGAATATAGGTAGACGCGTAGACACAGCTGCTGGGACTGTCAAACCAATTTTGGAATTGAAAATGTTGAATGAAAAATTATTTAAATTTGTAAAAATTGTTGAAAAACGTGAATTATAATAGCCTTCGAATGACGTAGTATAAGAAAACATATACAAATCTACTTATATTTGAAAAAACTTTTAAATTTTTTTACATATCAATGCTCCCAAGTTTTGATGCATCTACCTGTATTCTTCTGTCATGGAATAGCATGGATGAAGCATATTCTTCTACCATGGTATAAACGTTAGAGAATTTCCCTCCAAGTATGTACATGTCATGGTACATTAAGGAGGTAAAGCAGGTTGGTAACACTACCAAAATACCCTGAGGTTATATTCACTTTCTGTCAGAAATGCAAAAAATTGTTTTTATTTCTTTGAAATTTTCCTTATTTTCAAATTGGATAAAAAATTAAGAAAGACGATCAAAATTCCAGGATTTCCTTTCAAAAATATGATACAATCTCTTCAATAATTAATTAATTTCAAGGCAAAACTGGTTATAATTCCTAGTGTACGCTCTGTTATGAACGTTCCTTCTAGTCATTGATTTTGATATTTTTCTTTTTTTCTAAACTACAAATTTAGACCATGGTAGAATCAAGAAGCTAAAGTTATTTTCAAAATTATTCCTTTGACAACATTTCATTGTCAAAATTTATATTTATAAATCTATTGCATATACAAAAATCAGAGATGGAAACTCTTTTTTATTAAGAGAAATTTGACAATGTAAATTACAGAAAATACAAAGATGATTATTACTTAAAATTACTTTACCTTCTTAATTTTACTATGATTCAGACACAAAATAGACAGAAGTCGGGCAAACTCCAAAAAGAAAAAAAATTGTAAGCAACTGGTAGCTTTACCCTAATCTAATACGCGTTCATATGGCACGATCATGGTAAAATTAAGAAGGTTCAAATAAACATTCCCATTTCTGCATTTTCTGTAATTTACCATGTCAAATTTCACTAAATATAAAACAGGTCCCCATCTTTGATTGGTGTGTGCCATGGTACAATAAGGAGGTAGAATAGCTTCGTAAAACTACAGGAATACCGCCCTGAGGCTATGCCCGCTTCCTGTCAGAATTATTCAAAATTATCAATTAATCAAATTTTTCTATTATGCTTTTTTAAATGTCATTATTTATTTTGTCATAGATATTTTTCTGATTTTACTCTCATTCCTTAGGTATAGGACATATTTCATCGTAGTTCTGTGAGTGATTTAAAAGAAACTGAAAACAAAAATCGTTGTTCTCTTTGTAAATTTTGTATGGAGAACTAAATAGTGTTTAGTAATTAATGGACGAACAACGATTAGGGAGGGAATTACGTACCGTGTGAACTCAGTATTATTGTTTCGTTTGGGACGTTTTTTATTTTGATGATGCAGTGCGCGCACTTTGCTCTGAACCAAAACGCGCTCCTATGAATTAAATGGACGAACATACGTACCAAAAGAAAGGATATTAAGGATATTGAATTTCAATTGGCGCCAAAATTGTAGTGATTAAAAATACGTGAAAAGAGCGAAAATCTACTAAGCCGTAAGCGTTACGATTATAAGATATTTTAAGAACAACTGGGAAAATGTAAGAATATGTTTTTGTTTTCCATCAAAACAGAAACCAGTAAAGCAAGATCGGACGGGGACGCTGTATGATACCCTACAACACTATGCATCTTCAGTAGAGCTACCCGTAACAAATAAACGCTTTTATTGGAATTTATGAGAAGTAGATCATACCATGGTACAATAATTCAAAATTATATTCAACAAGTTGTTTTCATTTATTTGATATTTTTTGTTCCTTTCTAAAATGAGTCAAATAGTGCGAAATATGAATAAAATGAATCATACAAACTATGAAACAAATAACATTGCTGTATAGTGTATAATATGACTTCGATAAGGATGATATTAAAAAATATTTCTTGGGGCCGGACCGAGTTTAACCAAATGGTAAAATTCGGTTGAATATGAAAAGATCTATTCAATTTGGGCTGATATTACATATATGATGAGCTATATCCTAATCTGATCTGTAGTGGAATTCTCTAACTCATATTTGGAGTTACCGACAAAAATCGGTAACTTTCAAACGCAAAATTTTGATATAAAAAAGAAAATAATGTTTGCATCATTGGTATCTATCGGTAGACCTTAACGACTACTTTAATTTTGTCGTTAACTTACCGATAAATTTCGTTAACTACCGAAATTATAAGCATTTGAATTTGACCGATTTTGTTTGGTAACTCAGAAAATGAGTTACAGAATTCCACCACTGATCTCAATAAAAATTTGGCAGAGGTAATTTTGAGATTGAAAAGTTATCTGGTACCAAAGACCATCGTTGTGGAGTACATATTACGCATGTGAGGGACTTAAAACGCAAAATTGGATGGAACAAATATATTGGAGCCTTACCTATATCTGAACCGATTTTCACCAAATGTAAATTATTAGGATGAATTCAGTCGGAATTGCCAAAATTCAGTCCATTTGGGCTAATATTAGCCACCAGAATTTATGTACTTACTTCTAGACTGAATTCGGTCGGATGTGCCAAAATGCGCACAATCAGCCCGAAAGCGGTTAAAGATATATATGGGAGCTATATCTGAATTTGAACCGATTTTCACCAATTTCAATAGGGCCAAACAAATATTGTTTAGAAAATTTCATCTCAATCGGATAATAAATGAGTCCTGCATTTTGCTCAGAAAGATACATGGACAGACGGACTGTCCGACATGCATAAATCGACTCAGAAAGTGATTCTATGGGTCTATCTCGCTTCCTTCTCCTGCCCTTGCCACCATGTGGTGTAGGGTATAAAGAATATATGACGGGCATACATCTCCTAGGAATAATGTCAATGCCAGTGCATTTCAAAGCTTTTTATTTAATAATGACAGATCTATCGTAATTTCGACAAAGAATCTTTTGCTAATCATGAATATATATACTTTATGGAGTCTCCGGAGAGGTGTTGCTGAAATGACAAATTTAATAGACCCTTGTAATAATGGAGGGGTATAAAAGACATATTCAATTTCAGATTCAATTTCGAGTTTTTGCATCAATGTCGATTAAAAAAATAATTCGAATTGAATGCAGGAATAATAAACAATAATATATTCAAATATATTATATCCTTTAAGGTGCGTCTTCCGTTTCCCTTCATACATTACAGAGATATAACGAAATTACACGCCATCTAAGAATATCATCCTTGTTATTAAAAAATGTAAAAAAGTTGTAGTTTCTTTTCAAAATAATTTTTATTCATATAATAATAATTTACAATATTTTTCATGTGCCAAAAAAGGTTTTCCGTTTTTTTGCTTTATGCAAGATACAAATTTTCTTATAAGAATATGTGGTTGTTTTTTACAAATAAAATACATATATTAAACCTTAAATTAAAAGAAATGGGGGAGAAAATATATACGTATAGAATTAAATTATAATTTACAATTTCAATAAAAAAAACACTCAAAATATAAAAAAACAATAATAATAATAAAAAAACACACATTTTATGTAAAATTAATATAATATGCTAACTAAAAAAATGAAGAACAATATACAAATGTGTTGTTGTTGCTATTGTTTGAGTTATTTTTTTGTTTTAAGAAATGATTTTGTTCTCTTCACTAGCATCCGTATAAAAAATGAAAGGAATGGGTGGAGAAGGTCATCTTATTTTATATATTTTTTATAGGTTAGGTATACCTCCCAACCTTAAACTAATATTACACATATACATATGTATTTACTTAACAACAATTGAACAAGTTCAATTCAAATTAGTGAATTGAATTTACTAATTTAGATTAGAATAATATATATGTAAATGGGAGTTATTTAAAATTAATGGCAATTACTTTATACAAACAAACAAAAAATGTTTTTTTTTCTCATTCTATCTTTACAAATAAGCAAATAATGATACATACATGTGGATTATGGGGGGCGTAGAATGTAGGGCGTATGTGTGGGTGTGATGTGATTTTAAATTGTAAAATACAGTGGCTGGTGAGTTTGAATCATCATCATCTTCTTCGGTCTTCAGCCACCATGTGGTGTATGAATATTTGCGTTGAGATTTTCTTGTTTTTTATGAAATTCCAATGAAACGAGAGATTATTTTAACTAAAATTCCTTACTAAGAAACTTTTAATTCTAATTCCTCTAAGTTAACAGCAGAGCAGGTATATTCAGGACGAGCATTGGACGGGTTGTGGAGATAAGGAGCGTTATGTTGGCTGGGCAACATCAAAATGAGTACAGTTTCCAATTAACCACTAAACGAGGAAGAAACATAAAAGAAAACAAGAAATTTAAAAATATTAATTAAATAAATTTAAAAAATATTAAATAAATAAATGAGGGCAAAAAGGCAAAGTTATTATATTCTGAATTGCTTGAAAGCTATTGTTGCAAATTGCTGTGGAATCCATCACATTTTGTAGCTCTTGGCCCAACATGCTTTTTGTGTCAGAAAAGCCGCCGCCTTTTTTATAGCAATTCCGTAAATCCAGTAATTATTTGTTTTGTGGCCACAATTTTGTTTAGCTTTAGTTGTATGTGTGTGTGCATGTGATGCATAAAAATCCTTTAACATTCCATATGTATCCAATTCCAATATCGCTTCGCATTTATTTAATAAAAAATTTGCATAAGTTTTAAAGCCAGCCTCCAAAATGTACCAATATTTTGAATATTTTTTTAGTATTTCCTTTAGCATGAAATCCATAAATAATCCTTATTTTGAAGTTAGTTTTAGTTTAGTATTTGGTCGATTATTTTTGGTTTTTTGTTTTAGGTTTGCTATGGATATAGTTTTAATGAAACATGCCATATATAGTTTGAATGTGTGTGTTTGTGTGCAGTGAGGAAGATATTTTTTTGTTTGGCAGGATGTCCAATTTTGGTTTCTTGATTTCCGTTTCCTTTAGCCTTTGGGTGTGAGAGAAATGGGATGATGTATATAGATGTGAAGAAGTATAGGAGGAAGAAAGTAATGCACCATGGGTTTTTTGAGTTTTGTAGATAGAAAAGAAGAGGGAGTGAGTGGAAATAGGAGCAAATGTTTTGTTTTTTTTTAAAGAGAAGATGATAATTTGCGCTTAATTTTGGTATAATGAATATTTATCTTGTTGTTTTAATTTTCATGTGTGCAATATGATAATGTTTGTTGTGATGACTTCAATGTAAAATGTGTTTTATGATGATTTGATATAGTTTGAAAGAAATGTTGACTGTTTTCTAACAAAATTGATTTTAAAATTTTTTGAATCACTTAGGTGAAATTAAAAACTATTTTGAATTGCTAGGACAAGACAATTTCTAATGGGTCTTAAAAAAAAGGTAAATTAATTTTCAAGATATGTTCCTTGCACACCCTACGGAAACTGTTCCCAAAAACTTGAAAGATGTGTAAATGTCGTAGTTGAGGTAAATTAATATTGAACAAATCTTCCCATAGATACCAGATTGACAAAACTACTCTTGGAAACTCCTCTTAAGAAAAAAATTGTCGGAAATAATTCAGAAGTTCCCAAAGGGTTCAGGCATATTTCCATCCCTACTGGATGGAGTATTATTTGACATTTCCAAGTAAGCTAAATGTCTGGAGAGGATTGCATAACTTGGAAAATGACTGTAGAAATACCGACATAGAAGGATCTGAACCGTTCTAACCCTATAAAAAATCTGACTAAAGGAATTTTTAAATAAATCGAATAAATTTCGATAAATCGTTTATTCATATCAGGCTTCTGGTTAAGAGAAATATTTAGATTCGGCAAAGAATCGCCGACTTGTTTCTCAAGTTTTGACAGGCATAAGTATTGGAAATTGTGACTCTTTGTGGGAGTGATACCAGAACTGGTTGGCAGATATATATCATCTTCATAACAGATCTTGCGTTAGCAAAAATATTTTAATGTGTAAATTTTTCAAAACTTTCTGGGATGTATTATTTAATGTACATGTATGTATTATTTAATGTACACTCAGCGACGCATTTACATATAAAAAATAACTATTTCGATGGGGACTTGGGCTCTCACCCTGCGTGTGTCCCTTTGGTGAGCATAGAAAACGTTTGATTTTGTTCGTTTCCATTTGAATTGAATTTATATTCTAATACTTGACTTGTAAGGCATTTATTCTATTACGCCTAAAAGCATGCTTTGATTTTTAGATTTACTTCTAATTCTAACGTTAATTGCTTCTGTTCTCTATTGTGATTGATTTCTTTTGTATGAAAAGAGTAATCAATAGTAGACTGCGATTGGAGTTTATTAATTTAATGAATTAATTAATTTAATAAAACATTTTCAAATTCTTTCATTTCATAAAACATTTTCAATTCAGTTGAGTGATTTAAACGTTTTGTTTTTAATACTCATTCTATTGAGAGTTTTAAACTTTTGCTGAAACATGTAAGGGAAGGCTACCATTAAAGGGGATATTATTTCAAAACTACACAAGCAACTACAATATTTTACATGCATTTTTGAGACTCTAATTCACAAAATTTCTTTATTTCAAATACTTATTTTTATCCTTTTATATTTTCAACTACATTACATTTGTGGCTTTTGACCAATGATGATAGGTTTTTTTTCGTTTGGAAAGCTATATTTTTTTAACTACAGGGTTTGGAAAATGAAAAACTGAAATGAATGAATGATTTATTCTACTGAAAATTTGGGGAAATGTAGCTAAGAGGGCAACTAACGATTTAAATGTAGTTTAGCTTGCATTGCTTTCGATTGTTTTAATGGGAAATATTTATGTTGTATATCAAAAAAAATATATATTTCTATTTTGTTGCTTACCGCTTACAAAACGGATTTTGAATTTCAATTTTGGTTATCGAGTAATTGATTGATTGATTGCTTGACAATACAAAATGCAGCAAATTTGCATTTGTCATTTACATAAACATAAATGATGTGTAGATGAGTGTACGATATTTTATTTCTCAAAATTTAAAACGCCTTTCATTTGATTTGTGTTCTTAGACGGCGTATTAGTTTTTGTGTTTTAATTTTAGGCCTTCGCGTTGTTGCCTGTATTGTTGATGTGGATTGAGTTGTGGTGGTGGTGGCTGTGGCTGTGGTACTTGAGTATTGTGGGTGTTGTTGTTTTTTATTAGAGCCTGTTGATGATGATGATGTTGCTGCCGATTTTTGATGCATTAATTTGCTATAGGTTTTTTGTTGTTGTTGTTGTTGATATAATGTTTGTGTCTGATGCTGCGGATGATGATGATGCTGTGGCTGCTGTTGATTTTGTACTATGGAGGCCAAACGATTGGTGTTATCCCCAATATAATTTGTAACATAACCCACCGCTGGGGATGATGTTTGCCTTTCGGTTTCGGCAATGATTTTCAATGCTTGATGTTGTTGTTGTTGTGGTGAAATGAATTTAAAACTACTGCCATTCGCACTAGTACTACCACGACCAGTTGTGGTTGTCTTACTTTGTTTAGCATATGGAGATTTGTTATGACTACTAATACTACTACTACCACTGCTGGATGATGGCGTACGTTTGAAAAAATCTCCTCCTCCTAGTTGGGCTGTGGGATGTATGGTCCTCTCTGTTTTATCTAGGGTCTTGGATTGCCCATCACTTGTGGTCCTTGTCAGTGTGGCTTCTGTGACTTCGTCAACTTCTACATCACCATCATCCTCGTCATTTAAGGCCTGTAATTTTTTAATATAGGTTTCGAATAGCGTGGGATTGGATACCACCGAACGTATACCATAATGGGGTGCGGCTGCCTGGGGCGTATCGGTGGCGGCTGATGTTGGAGCCTTGTAAGAAGTGCTTGGGGTAGGGTGGTGGGGTGATGCTTGCAATGGTTGTTGTTGTTGCATGGTGGTGGTGCTAATGGGTATATTTAACTTACGTTTTTGTTTTTCAATTGTTTCATTACTTTCATCATTATCATCCCCACTGTCGTTGTCATCATCATCGTCGTCGTCATCATCGTCCTCATCATCATCATCTCCGCCTCCGCCGCCGTTCTCATTGTTTGCGCTGCCCTGTTTGCTGGCCGCATTGTTAACGCTGTTGTTACTATAAGGTTTAGAAGGCAAAATTGTATGGCTATTGTAATTGGTTTTATTGATAGAAGTCAATGTTGTTGTTGTTGTAGTTTTGGGTTTTGTTGTAGAACGAATACTACTACTAGTACTACGTCTGTTACTAAAATCATTATTGTTGTTGCTGTTGTTGGTTTGTAAAAGCTTGACATAGTATTGAAATTGTTTGCGTAAAGTTTTGATAAAATTTGAGGTAGGTTCTGGTGTTGGTCGTGTTGTTGTTGTTGTTGTGATTCTATTGGACAGGTGTGGTGGTGGTGGTGTACGTATATTACGTGGTGTTGAGGTGATGTCAGTGTAATGTTGTTGTTGTAATGTATTGCGTGTTGTTGTTACATTACGCCTACTATCACTAAATCCTTTGAGGCTCATACCACTCCGAATCAATGATTTAAAATCATCATAATCTGGTTGTTGTTGTAGTGGGGTGTGTTTTTGTAATACTGTCTTGGGTTTTTTGGTGGTAGTGGTGGTGGTCGTTGTTGATGTAAATGTTTGTAAATTTTGCCATAATTGTGATAAATATTGATATGTATTCAAATTGAATACAGGCGTGGTTGAAGTCCTTTCCCTGTGATCTCTTTCATTATCTTTTCTCTTTACCATGGTCTCTTCATAACGATTATCATGTGGATGGGGCTTATCAATATAATTATGATGTTCATCCACATGTTTGTTCAGAGGTTCTTCAATATTCTCATCATCTGTCAGATATTCTTCATCATCGTCATTTTCTCCAAAACCCCTTGGAGAAGCTGAAGAAGAATTATCTTGTTCCCTACTCTCATAAGCATCGCTTGTGTTTTCTTCACTCTGATCCTCTTCCTGCTCATCATTTTCCTCCTCTATATTCTTTGGTTCTATTTCCTGTAAACCTTCATCACTACTGCCACTACTATTATCATGAGCTTGATTTTCATTTTTCTCATCTTCCTCCTCCTCATCTTCTTCCTCTTCATCGGCATCCTCATCTTCTGGTTCTTCTTCGTCGTCGTCCTCATCGTCTTCTTCATCCTCTTCGGTTTCAGAGTTATTACTTTGAGAGGAGTTGTCTTTGGTCTCATTATCATCACCAATGGCCTCATTAGATCTTGATATTTTGTGGTGGTGAAATTTAGTGATATTTTGTGGTGTGGTGTGGAGTGTAGTTTTGTTGTTGTTGTTGTTTTTATTTTGGTGTTGGAAAATAATTTTTGTGTAGACATTGTTGGATTTTTGGTTCAAAAAGTTTGTAGACAGGATAGACAGAGAAAGTGTAGATTTTTTTGTTGTTGAAAGATTTTTTGTTTTTGGTTCGGTTAATAAGAAAAGAAGAATAAGAATTTTGTCAATAAAAACAATTAATAAATATTAATTTTTCGATTTCATTTTTGTTTTGCATTCTAATAAACAATATTTTGCAGCTGTTATCCTTAAGAAGTGCTAAGTTTTGCTAACGCCAATTATTATTTTCAAACTCTCTACAAACTACCTGTGTGTTATTTGCATAAGAAGAAAAGTTGGAGAGAAAAGTAAAAGCAAATTGCCAAAACTTACTTGTATCCTCGATTATATTGGCCACCATAGTTTGTGATGAGATTTGAGGCCACCGGCAAGGCTGTACAGCGGCCATCCAAACAATGCTAAATAATACAATTTTTTGTGATAAAAAATTTGAATATTCATTTTGGATTTATTTCCACAACATACCATATTATTACCACACGTTGAACCTTCCGCGGCCGGTCTATAGGCTACACAGTAACCCGTTTGAGCATCGAAACAGAATAGCTGAGCACAGACACGTTCATCCTTAAAGCAGGCATATGTGCCACGATCTCTTCGGCATTGGGCATCCAGCGAGAGCAAGGTACCCGGCAGTGAACGACCCAAGGCGTTATCCTCATGTGGTACATTGTACAGGCAGGTGGCAGTTGCACCACTGAAATAAAGAAAAAGATAGCATTTTTTAAATTTGAAAAAAAAAAAAATAGGATTTTATTTTCGACGAAGTTTTAAATATGAAAATATTAAATTTCGACGAAATTTTCAATTTAAAAAAGTTCGACGAAATTTTCTATAGAAAATTATTGAATTTAGACGAAAATTATTTGAATAGACAATTATGGAAAATTATTGAATAGACAATTATGAAATTTCGAGGAAATTTTCTATAGAAAATTATACAAATTTCGACGAAATTTTCTATATGGAAAATTATACAAATTTCGACGAAATTTTCTATATGGAAAATTATACAAATTTCGACGAAATTTTCTATATGGAAAATTATACAAATTTCGACGAAATTTTCTATATGAAAAATTATACAAATTTCGACGAAATTTTCTATAGAAAATTATATAATTTCGATTTTCTACAGGAAATTAAGAAATTTCGAGGAAAATTTTCTATAGAAAATTATACGAATTTCGACGAAATTTTCTATATAGAAAATTATACAAATTTCGACGAAATTTTCTATATAGAAAATTATACAAATTTCGACGAAATTTTTTAAATAAAATTATAGAATTTCAACGAAATTTTCTATAGAAAATTATTGAATATCGACGAATAGGAAATTTTACATAAAAATATAGGGAATTTTGTCGAAAATTTTCTATATAAAAATATTACAAAATTTTGTCGAACATAATATTTCGACGAAATGTTTTTAGTAATTGATTACTTACTTCAGGAAATGTTGAAAACTTTGCACGGAACATGCTGACCAGCGGAAGCCTCTTTCGGTATGTCTCAAATCGGACATTATGAAACCATCTTCCCAGCGACAACGTTGAGCGCCTGGTCCTCCCAAATAGCTGGGTGGTGGTGAACCATCATGAACAGCACCAAGTCTGCAAAAAACAACAACATATGTGATTATAACCCACAACAACATACAATGAACTCCAGTTAAAGCATGGTGGCAGTTTTTTTGTGTCGGATTGCATTTGGCGGATATGCATAAATTCCATTACTACATTTTTTTAATTTTCCATTCAGCCAAGAAACAAGTTTGACTTGAAGACAAAAAAAACACTACTAGTGACAATTTTTGTAACGGAAATTTCATTGCTCAATTAAATTGCAATGTCTGTGATATTTTGAGTTTGTTTTTTTTTGCCCGGCTAGCTGGCTGACTGGCTGGCAATATCTTTATTATCACATCCACCAACTACAGTAATTGTAATAACCGCTTTTTTTTCGTTACATTGTAAATGACAAAAGAAACGATACCAATTTGCTAATAACCGGAATGCGTGTAAAGCTTGAGAAAAAATCAATTGGGTGTGTATGGTGCGCATGAATGCCCAGCTCAATTGATAACTGCATTATTTTTATTTTGTTTGGCTTTATTTCTTTGTTTTTTACTTACAAATGGCCCACTTCATGAGCGGCAACAATGATGCCACTGAAACCGCCGGTATCTTCAATGATAGCAACACTGTTGACTTTTTCCAAACGTCTATTGACCACACAGGCACCACCAACATAAGCGAAACCTTGATTTTGAAAAGAAAATTATTATGAAATTATTATGGATTCGAAAAAATGTAGTTGTTTAGACAAGTTAAATATTTATTATACCACACAGTTGAACCTCGATTACGCCGAACTAGATAATTATAAGAAAGGCAATGACTTCAATGTATTCTCTAAGTAGGTGTCCTTTTTTCCTAATCGAGGTTCAACGAGTGTTTAAGGTTTTCATAGAAGCGGTGTTACTTTTTTCCATTTATCAGCATTGTATTGTTCTGTTAGTCACCAATTTCCAATCCATCACCAGAAGTTATAGTGAAATTTGTTATTAACAGCTAAGTTAGTATAGAAGTTTTCCGAACATCCCTTAGCCAACTTTTGCATAGATATAAGCAATATTCAAGCTTTAAAATAGGTTAAGTTTTAATATAATATCAAATCGATGCAAAATAGATGCATACTTTTAGGCTACTGTTTAAATCTACAGTCAAAAATCAGCTGACTAATGTCGATTTTTTAAGTTTTTATTAAAAACGTTAAAAAAAAAACAAAATATTTAAAAGGTCTAAGGTGCCTTTAATTGAATAATAGGTAGTAACAATAATAAAGATTATCAATATCTATTCAAAAAGTTATTATAAGAATCCAAAGTCCTTGATTTTTTCCTTCGAACGAAAAATTTAACTGTGAAAGTCAAGGAGAATTTAATGAGGTTACACAGAAGGCGAATTTAGACCGTAGTCTTCTCTTGCTGTCAAAGTATTTGGGAGAAGAATCTATCAAATGAGGCGAAAAAACACATAAGCAACAGGGTGGCCCAGAAAGACCGACGGTCAACAAGAAACCATCTGCTTGCAAATTTTCGACAAGGAACAAGACACAAATCGCCGCATTCGACATCGAGTCCTGTTTCGTATAGAGAAACATTTCGATCGGTGTAAATTTTTGGGATCGGAATTTATTTTGTCTACTACTTTTTTTATACCCTCCACCTTGGAAATGAGGGTATATTAACTTTGTCATTCCGTTTGTAACATCCCTAAATATTCGATTTAACGATGTCCGTCTGTCTGCCTGTCGAAATCACGATACCGCCCACATTATTTGACGTAGAGCGTCAAAATTTAGCAAAACGATTTGTATTGTGTCTAGGACGGCTGGTATTGAAAATGAGATGTATCGGTCCACATTTTGGTATATCCCCCATATAACGGTACCTCCCAATATTCGGTATTTTTATAATTTTGTCACATTTTTTCACTGATTTGTCTAAAAATTTATATTTGTTGGTCATCATGGGTTCTAGCTCCGGTGGGGAAACATTGTATGTATAGGTCCACATTTTGGTATAGCTTACATATAACGGTATCTCCCGATATTCGGAATTTTTATGATTTTTGTCACATTTTTTCACGGATTTGTCTGAAAATTGGTATTTGTTGGTCATAATGGGTTATAGCTCCGGTGACGAAACATTGCATATATAGGTCCACGTTTTGATATAGCTCCCATATATCGGTACCTCCCGATATTCGATATTTTGATGATTTTTGTCACATTTTTTACGGATTTGACTGAAAATTGGTATTTATAGGTCGTAATGGGTTATAGCTCCGTTGGCGAAACATTGTATGTGTAGGTCCAGGTTTTTTTATAGCCCATATAGCGGTACCTCCCGATATTCGGTATTTTGATGATTTTTGCCACATTTTCCCAAAAAAAAATTTAAAAATTGGTATTTGTGGGTCAAATGTTTCATTTACCGTAAGGTGAAGGGTATTAAAAGTTCGGCCTGGCCGAACTTAATTTTTTTTATTTCTTTGTTCACATTGTTGTAAACATATGGTAATAAGAAATTGGAAGCGGAATAGTGTTTCAAAATAAGTTTTTGTGATCAGAATATATTATTTCAGAGACATTTGAAGCTGCTACTGAGCATTCCTTTCTTTGATCCGTTTCCCTAAATGCAAGTAATATTATATTTTCCTTAATGTATTTTGCCAAAATAGAAAAATACTAACATATTCTCCAATACTAACACTTCACCAGGCGAAGGTCATTTCACCATAGTCGATGTCGACGCCTATCTACAAATCTTTAATTCTTGAGATTTATAAAAATAATCCATTGTGGTAGCTTATACTCCGAAAGCTCTCCAAAAAAATATTTAAAAACTCCCTAAAGCAAGAATTGTGTTGTTCCGAATGAACTAGTTCCAAAGCAATAATTTGTGAAATGATCAATTGGAACTAGATCCCTTAGGTCATGTAGTTCCCTTAGTTCATTGATCAAACTAAAACGAATAATCGAATAAAAGGAACAATTTGAATAAACGGATCAATCGTAGAAAAACATTTTATAGCATGTTTCCATTGGAAACCGAACAACGTTGTTCGCTCTCAGAATTAGTTACACGAATTAACCCGTTCATACGGCACGATTCGTAATTCATAGTAAAATAATTCCTTTTTTCAAAATTTTGTTTTTTGATTTTAATGGGAATTTATACTAAAATACATTAAATTCTCACTAATATGGATAGAAGAAATGATTATTTTTCTCCCAAAGATTTATTATAACATTAATTTTATAATTTTCATTCACGTCTCCAACTTTTTGTGTAAATGTTGACATTTTGAACATATTTTTGTATTTTTCTATTTTTAAATTCTGCTGGAGAGACACTTGTCAAACATTTTTTCTGCCGATACAAACATTTTGAAAATATTGCCTCTTTTGTTTCCTATTTTCTGTGGTAATTTCAACTCGTGGACAAAATGCGTGCCTCGGATGAGAGAGAAAACAAAATTTACTTTCGTTTGAATGTACATACGCTATTCTACATTGTAGTTTTCATTCATAAATTTCAGTCTTCGCAAAATTTTTCAAAATTTCATCAAATTTTTCTATTTTCAATTTTTAAATGTCATAATTAATTTTTTCGATAAATGCTCTCATTTGTTAGGGATGGGACATATTTTTTCGTTGTTCTGAGAGTGATTTGATTTGAACAATGTACAAATTTGAGTGTTCGCTCAGGAAATTTTGTGTGAAGAATTAAGTAGTTTTTTCATAGTTAAGGGTCAAACAACGAATAGAGAGCGAATCAAGTGCAGTGGAAACGCCACATTACAGAATTCGACAAACCTTTCGTACAATACCAGAAGAAATATTGAATTCACAAGAAAATTGAATCGAGATGCTAAATCAATGTCAAGTAGTCTTGGGACATTTTTTTAACAACGTTGTTTTATTTTTACACCGAAGTCACAATTTAATTTTTGTTTCACCTTTTACGGCTACAAATCGGCAGAAATGGAGACCATTTGAAGAAAACGCTGAGAATTTTGTTAAGCGTCTTTTTTTTTTTTGGAAATTATTAATTTGTGTTAAAAGTTTGAACAATTCGAAAGGAAGATAAGAATCAATGTTAAATTCATTAAGATAGCTCGAAGAAAGATTAAGAAAAAAGATGGACAAATAATAATGTTATTGCAAAAACATTATTTAGCTGAGAATCACACATAATTAGACACAAGGGAAAAGTTTAAGGAACTTTTAAGTTAATCATATTCAGTTCTCAAAGATTCTTTTACATTTCGAGGAAAACTTAAATTCAAATAGGAATAAGAACGAAGAAGAAAATTCGAAAAATATGAGAAAAAAGGCTTAAAAACACATATAAAAGAAGATAAATTTCCGAAATGGTTTAACTTCCAAAAAATATTGAGAGATGTATATTTACAAAAGTCTATGCTTGACTTTGTTTCAGAATAAAAATATTGATATCTTTGACATTTATATTACAAGTGAGTGAGAAAATTATAAGAGAATATAACAGTTTCGAGTAGAAGAAGTAGAAGAGATCACTTTTTACAACAGAACGTGCTGAATTATTTTATTCATTATTGTATTTCACATTTTTTGTTTCTTTGCAGTTTGCCGTTTTTTTACACTGTATATATTACCTGCTGTACCACGATTACAGTCACGAGCTCCAACTTCACGTCTGCACATATCAAGTCTAATTTGATTGTTTTAAAATAACAAATAAGGTAAGTGTTTTTATGTGTCTTATACAAAAAATAAAATGTTTTATAAAAAGTAAAATGAAATAAAAAGAAAAAAATCTCAATGAAGAAGGTAAGCGGAACGAGGAGCAAAGATCAACGAGAGAAATAAAAAAGAGAAAAAGAACGAGACAAAAGTAAGTAGCAAATGTTTCCTGGATATGTGTAGTTTTGATATTTTAAAGTATATAGTTAGTAGTTAAAAGTAGATGTAAAATAAATACCTTTGCAAAATGGAAATATTATGGTAATTTCTACACAAATCTGGGTATATACAATCAAGCAAGTGTTTTTTCGATATCGATTTTTCTATACCCAGATTTGTTAAAGTCTATTTTGCTATTTTATTCTAAACCCCTAATATTACAAAGCATTTCTATTCTAAATACTTAACAAAGTTAGATTATTTTATGAAAATATGAAAGGGATTCTAAATGGATTTTGAATAGAAATATTATACGAAATATAAATTAATCTCTTAACCAAAATCAAATTCAACATCTTCAGTTGGAGATTAAGCTTAAGCCCAACATATTTTTTGCTTAACTCTATTTATCTGAGCTCCCAACTGAAGATGTTGAAAATTTCCCAAAAAAAACTATTTTTAAAACTAGAATTTGTTAAAATGTGCCAAACAACTTCTACAATTTTAACTAAATTAGAAAAAAAAACGAGTAGTTAATAATTTTTGAAATATCTTTACCGGCTGTGCCTTTGGTACAACGACCTCCTTTACGTCTGCGACACATATCATACCTATGATTGTTTTAGATTCATTGAAGAGGGGAAAAAGAAAGATATGGAAAATTCAATTTTGACAAGACAAACAGGGTAGACTCATTCAAACACACAAAAAAAACAAAAAGAAGAAAAGGATATTAAGAAAATTGAGATCAAAGGATTATATATTTTTGAGGCTCCTCCTAGAAAAATGTAAGGGATAGTAAAACTATTGCATTGTTACAAAACTTACTTGGTTATGGCCACGGCAATATCATAGACCGGTAAACGTCTTTCACGGAACAAATATTTACCCATATCCGTAAGGGCTGCCGCCGAATCAATTGCATCACGTCCAACACGATTTCTTTCCAAATATGGTGTGGCATCACGACCCTTAAAAAAAAGAAAATGAAAAACAGAATTAAAATAAGATGGAAATTATGTTTAACATTTGTTTGAAAAATATTTTTCATTCAACCTTTAAGGCGAAATCAAAATTTTATCCTCTATTTTGTTTGACCTTTCAGTCGAAATCATCTTTGAATTAGTAGCAAGCGCAAATATACCTGGGCTATTCTTATTTCTATTTGTATTTAGGTTCACGTTAAATGGCACAAGTCATCTTCATAATACAGAAGATACTGCAGTGCATAAGTGAACCAAATCACCTGGTGTTAGCTTCACCGATGTACCATCTTCATTTTAAATGTAAACCAAAAACGTGATCCATAAAATACAAAACAATTGGCATTTAAATCTGCAAAGTAGCGAACTCTTTTCTAAAACTATGTTGTGATTTGAAACTATTTTAGAGGTAGCATAACCAGTAGTTCTGTACGTGTATTTTCAAATAAGACATGAGTATATTTAAAGGTATAAATAGCCTGACAAGGGCGACTTCTTGACTTTATTGGTCCACTTACTACCGACATGGACTGAAAAAATCCGAAATTCTTATCATAAAAAAATCCATGGACTGAAAAAATCCACATTTCTTATCATAAATTATTCTTTTGTTTAATTTCGGGGTTTATTAAATACCTCATAAATTGACTTCCTCAACTAAACTAAAAAATCGCCTCTGCATTTCTTAAAGATTACTAGGTTAATTTTAGTTTTTTATGGAGGGTATATTAAGTTCGTCATTCCATCCGTAATTCATCGAAATAATAATTATAGACCTAACAAAGTATATACAGGGTGAGATAAAAAAACTGCAACAAAGTCTAACGCCATAATTTTTACATTTTTTTTTTCAATTTTATTGAATGAAAGCAAAAAATGTCGGAAAAAGCATCAAATTTTAGAATAAGTTTAAATTTGTTCGAAATAGTCACCTTTGGCACGAATAATGGCCTTCAAATGGCCAATGAAACCGTCACACACTGCCCGAATGTTGCTCTGCGGTATTTTGGCCCATCTCCGGCGAAGGGCTTGCTTGACGTGATCGACACTTTGGAGTTTTTTCATCTCAGCCTGAAAAGGAGCCTAGGGCCAAAATCGAACTAAGGCAACCTAAAACTCCTTTGTTCTTCTAGCCGATGACTTAAGCCAGCCAGCCAAATAAGCGCTTTATGTATTCCCACCCTAAAAGTCTCAGGTGGTTCATGACATAATCAGAAAGGTTGTATAACATTGAAGCAAGTAGGAAAATGCAACTCTGTACTATAGTCCTATTGTGACAAATTGACTTTTGAAATATGCAACAACTGTTTTTTTTGAAAAGTCACAAGACATAAATAGAATTTCGGGGTGATTCCAAAATTTCAAACTCGTAAAATGTGGCATTATTTAACTCATTGGTAGTTAGATTTTAGTTATTCTTGCTTATAGACCAAAACTAAGTGCAATGAGTCAGGCATACCAGCGTGTATTTATTCAATAATACATAATCTAAAAAACTTATCCCTAATTTATGGTTACATAGAAGCCGCAAAGCAGGCGTTACCACTTGTTGCACCACCTTTCATAAGACATTTACATTATTTTCTGATTTGTCAATCTGGTCTTGCATTCTGCAAGACATAAAAATTGCATACGATATATATACACATTTGTGTGTCTGTGTGTGGTCTTGTAATTAATATGTATTTAAAGAAAATGGAATGGTAATAAAAAAAAACAACTAAAATGTAATAACATTGATATTAAAAACCGTTAATAAATAATGTTAATGTCTGTGGTAATAAAACATCTGCATGAAAGAAACGATAGCGCGCTGGTCATGGTACACGTGAGTTGGAGCAGAAATGTCTGTGGTAATAAAACATCTGCATGAAAGAAACGATAGCGCGCTGGTCATGGTACACGTGAGTTGGAGCAGAAATGTCAGAATAGAAAAAAATTAAATTAAAAACATACAAGTTATTTAAATTGTTTTCTTTTTGTTTTTGTATTTTTAGATGTCCAAGCCTTCGGTTGTAAAAATTGTACAAGAATTTATGTTAAAAGCCAATCGCCCATATGCCATTAATGATGTGGTGGACGGATGTGGCAAGGATTTGGGAAAGTCGGCCATACAAAAGTGAGTAGTGAAATTAAGTTTTGTTTTAACAAATATTTGACGCCTCTTTTTTTTCGTTTAAAGGTCATTAGATTCCCTGGTGGACAAAGACATTTTAATAATGAAAATGTATGGGAAGAATAAAATATATTTCCCCAAGCAGAATACCAATACAGCAGAGGTAGTTAAGAGATTTTTGCCATTTAATTTATATATTTAACAACATTTTTATACCCTCAGCCATAGGGCTAGAGAGGCTATATATGATTTGATACGGCCAAAACGTGCCTCATCGAAATAACGGTTTTAGACCCTAGGTCTCTTGGGACCAAATCCGTTTCAGGCCATTGGGGTTTATCTGGCGATGTCCGTCCCTCCGTCTGTCTGTTGGTGTGCACGAAACTCCCACAGGGAATATCCGATTTGACGCAAACTTGGTACATCGTAATATTATTTACAAACTTAGATCGAGTTCGAAGATTGACAATATCGGTCCACTTCTACTCCCCCCAAAATGTTAACATTTTCAAAGAAAATAATTTTTTGCACAGAAAGAGAAAGGATAATCCTAATTTGCTCCAACTTTGCCAATCCTAATATTTGCATCATTACTAGGTCAGGTGTGAAAATGGACAATATCGGTCCACTTCATCAAGTACCTCCCCCACAAAGGGTCAACATTTTGAATAATTATAAGTCTTATAAAATGTGATGTAAGAGGTCGATTGTCTTCCAATCACAGACATCACAATATTTTTATTAACTCAAGGTCTGGTGCAAAAATGGACAATATCGGCCCACTCCATCAAGTACCTCCCCCATAAAGGGCGAAAATTTAGAATATTCATGAAGCTCATAAAAAACGAAACTAACATCCCTTCCATTCAGACTAGGTACACCTCAATACACCTCAATATTTCCATAAACACAAGATCTGTTATAAAGTTGGTAGAGATCTGACCATTCCTTATGGTACCTCTCACACAGAGGGTCAACGTTTTGAATAACCAAAACAATTATAAAAAATACGAAATAACCATCCGGTTCTCTTCATATTTCACTCATCGCATTGTTTCTACTTACACAAGATCTGCTGTGAAGATGGGATATATCGGTTCACTCCTTCTGGTACCTCCTTCACAAAGGGTCACCATTTTGAATATACAAGAAGCTCATAATATGCGAAATTAACATCCGATTCCATTCAGACTTGGTACGTCTCAACACAAGATCTGTTATAAAGATGGTAGAGATCGGACCATTTCTTCAGGTACTACCTTCACATAGGGTTCAAGATTTTAAAATACAAAACGCTCAAAGAAAGCGAAATAAGCATCCAACTCTCATCAAATTTCACACATTTAAAGAATAAATGGACAATATTTCTTCGGAACTCCACTACTACTCCACAGAGGGTTAACTAATTTAAACAATCCAACATTGTCTGAGGGTATACATCTGTCGGCATAACCGACTGACACTTGTTTGGTTTAATTTCAGTTAAAAAAGGATGTCTTCTTGGCAAAACAAAAGCTGGCTCAAGTTCGCCAGGTATTGAAGTCCAAAGAAAATCAGTTGAGTGAAATGCAAACAAAACTCAGATCTTTAAGTAAAATCAAAACTGTGGCTCAGCTGGAAGAGGAAAAAGAGAATCTCATGGATGATATTCGAAATATCAATGAACGCTTGAGGCACTATGAGGCCCAGGAAAAGGAAGCCAAGGTATGACACTAACATTACAAATTATAAGGAAATCATTAACATTTATTTTCATTTTGAATTTTTAGCTCTCTGCCCAGGATGTGAAGAAAATTGAAGCAAAATATGCAAACGTATCTACAGCCTATCGCAAACGCAAGCGTATCTGTACTGATATGTTGGATGCCATTTTGGAGGGCTATCCGAAAACTAAAAAGGCGTTGATAGCCGATATTGGCCTGGAAACAGATGATGATGTTGGTTTCAAAATTGAACTGAAGCGTTGAGAATTTAATCATAGATGTGGCTACACGGAAAATATAAGACATGAGGATAAAAGGAAATAAGGTTTCAGGCGCAAAATGTCTCAAATTTTCCATTTAATTTTCAGTCAATTAAAGTCACGAAAAAAAATCGTTTCCCCAAAATAGTTGAATTCAATTGATTCCAATAACGTTTTCGAAATATTCTTTTTGTTCTCTTTAGAATACGAATTCCCCATAGCTACATCCTTGACATACTTTCGAAAATTCCCTTTTCAAAAATGTGTCATTTCTTGAATATTTGAATATATGTTAACGTTATTTCTTTATTTGTGTTTGAATTGAATTTCTTAATGTTTTTTGTTCAATTTTTCTGTACTCTACTTTGATTTATGTTCTTGTTAATACTTTTCTGTGTCTTTCTGGTAAAAAGTGTAGGTGTTATGATATGTAAAAAAAGACACCTAATAAATTTGATTTTGGAAAGTATGTAAAACAAATATTGTTTTGGAATTTGTAATGGATAGTTGTCATGTCAAGTTGACCAGTGTTCTGTTGCCAGGGAAGTAGAGATCAAAATAAAGGAAGTGAAGGGCTACGATTTTTAAATGCAAATAATAAAAATGCCAGAAATGGACTGGACACGATGTTAATACGTATTAGGAAAGGGGAAATGTCATTCCGCTACTGGAAATAGGAAAAATACCAGTTAAGAGTCTTTGACATTCTGTAGATGTTAGGAATTGTGAAAATAGACGCCTAATAAATTTTGATTTTGGAAAATATTTATATAAAATAAATATGGTTTTGGAATCTAAATTGGATGGTTGTAAAGTCAATGCTTTGTTGTTAGGGAAGTTGATAAAAGAAGGAGGTGAATTGAGCCGATATCTGACTGCATGTTTCAATATTTTATATGGGTACTGGAAAATTTGGTTCCGCTACTGGAAATGGGTAACTATTTATATTTCGAAGCCTGGAAAATAAGCCGGGTAGTCCCGCTACCAAGGCCAGTCAAGGGTGCCGTACCAGATATTTTCCAGCACCGCCACAGTTTACGCTAAGAGATGTTGCAAATTTCATCCGAAACGCTAAATCATCTAAACCTTTGGACGTAGATGGAATGCCAATGGTAATTTTGAATTAACTGGATATGTCGGGAATTGAGTGCCTAAAAAAAGTTCTCAATCTTCGCTCCCGAAGCCTGGGAAATGGACCAGGAAATTTTGCTTTTGTCGCTATTAACAGTTTATTATATCAGGAATTCAGTGGCCTTAACAAAAACGGTGTCGTTCTCTAAGAGTTGGGATCTGATATTTGGTGTGCATTATTAATCGTTTAGTCGAAAGTCGAGCTTCGTATCCCTACCCGTAACATCCATATATAAATACAAAATATTCACGTTGAGAGAAGGAAAACGTTATATTCTGTAGAGTTTGCGGATACACAAGTTTATCAATATAAAAGAGTATAACGTATAGATTGCAATCATTTAAAAGTGAACAGTCCTGTGATATAGATTTAAGTATTTGTCGCAATATTTTATTTATATATTATTTAATGAAAAGTCGACCTACATATCCCTACACGTCATCTAGAAAAACAGAATATGCGCGTATACAAGAGAGAATACACAAGTCCATCAACACAAAATAGGATAAAGATAACACCAGACTCAAATATTCAGTTGTTCTTTTTCGAAGAAGCCAGCCGATGACTTAAGCCAGTCAAAAAAGCGGTTAATGTATATTCACCTAAACTTTATTCAATTTGTCAAATTCTGTTTGTTGTCAAAGACGAATCTTTGAAAGTATTGCAAAAAAATCCAAGAATTTTCCCGTTATTTTTGGGGTGATTAGCAGGCTGACCGTTCACTCATTTCTGCCTTCACTGAATGTATGACGGTATTTTGTGATTGTAATTGTAACAAATGCAAATATTTGTTAGAGTTGTTTTATTTTTTGCTGGCCGCTGTCTAAATTATTGGATATCTTGCATTAAGAAGGGAAGTGGTTTTGGGCCATACGAATAAACTCATTTGGCATATTTGTGACCCTATGATGGAGACACATATTTTTATTGTATTTATTTGTTTTCTTATTGTATATCCTACTGGGCTACTAATACCACCAAGACCTTTGCCAATTCCAATAAATTGGTGGCAGTGGGTGTAGTCTAGTCAATTGCCATGAATGCCGCTGCTTTTGGTGGCGGTGGTTGTCCGACCGTTTGGTCTATTTCTCAAGTGTGGGTGGTCATTTCAGACACAAAGGAACAAAAATGACAATCAAAGACAACGAACATTACAATAATTGTTTGAAATGTCTATTTTTTCGAAAAAAGTTAAACAGAAATAAAAAACGAAAGTCCAAATGGTCGATGACTTGGGTGAATGAAAAATAGACCAGATATTTACCGCCTTTGTGGGCTAACATGCATATTTAACATAGTACCTACCTAAAAATGTTCCAAAAACAAAAAATGAAAACCAAGATTGGTAACTAAAAACTTTGAAATGCAAATACTCTACTTCAAAATATATATGTAATTTTTCCGCATTAGATATCGTTTTACCCAGAAACCAAAACGACCTACCAAGCAATTCAGTCAGCCAGCCAACTTCCAGCTAGCTGCTAGCCAACCCAATCGCCACTCAACTGAAATGCGACAATCAGACGTGGCGAATTGAAATTGAATCGGTTTTTTGTTACTTTTGTAGGAAAATGCCAAAAAATTAAAAACCCCGGCACAGCACGAATTGTCAATTGCTTAATATCACTACCACCTTTTGGTTTTTTTCTCTCCAGTATTAGGCTGTTCATTTGCTTCCTTCTAGACATGAATCTCTCAGCGTGGGTTAACTTTTAATTCTAAGTAAAATATAAATGAAACTATTTTTCCTTTTTTTCTGTTTTTCTTCCTCAGCTAAATCATATTTTTTGATTCGATGGGCCACTGACCGGCCAGTAGCTGTTTAAAGTTAATGTGCATAGTAAAGCAGTTCATGACATGGTTTCTAATGGTTTATTTTTGATGGCTTATGCGTCTGGTCCATAACCCATTGGCCAAATGCGAGATTTTCATAGGAAACGTGAACTCGTGTCTAAATGTCTTGCCAAGAAAAACTAAGACTACGAATTGCGTAAATTGAACTTTAATTTAATTGACAGTAGAATATTTGTTAAGAGATTTTTCGAATAAGATTTATAGACCAAAAAAAACTATTCTTGCTAAATTAAATGTGCGATATGTCTACAGTGAAACAAAGTAACATTATTAATTGCGTAGCGAAAGAGAAGGGAATTAGAAGCAGTTAAGGCTGCGACAAATCTTGGAGAGAGCCTTAAAAATATAGATAGACACATTTCTAGTAGGAAAGAGGGTCACTACTTTTACTACGTGGTCGACTTTTCGATTTTTATCTTTAACCACGAAGTCGAAATGACAATTGTACCAAAAATTGATGTTCTCAGAACCGAAAATTGATTACAAAAAGTCGACTTTGCTATTTTCACAACAGGCAAAAGTAGATTTCGATTATTAATTGCGTAGCGAAAGAGAAGGGAATTATAAGCAGTTAAGGCTGAGACAAATGTTGGGGAAAACCTCAAAAAAATATAGATACATTTCTAGAAAGGGTCATTACTTTTCGAATTTATCTTTAGCCAAGAAATCGAAACGTTATTTGATTTTGTCCAATCAGTCAAACATTGATTTTCGATTTTGAATTATTAAATCAAAGAGTTTTTACACTGCTGATTTCAAGGTGAAAATATTGGATAAAAAGAAGAGAGAAGGAAAACGTTATATCCTAGAGTTCAAATATAGAAGTCCATCAACATAAAAGGACATATAAATATAATGAATAAAATGTATCGTCACTATAAGAACTTTGACTGATAATCTATGGTATTTTGTCGATGGGATTTTTAAACAATAAATTCCAATAGATGTTAAAAAAATATAAACGTTTTTGTCTCTTTGGTGGGCATAATCAGTCGTTTAGTCGAAAGTCGACCTTCGTATCCCTACACGTAACATTTACAAAGACCTAAAATGGTAAAGACTAGACAAAATGCATTCTGAGCAAATGGTTAATGTCAATATAAAAATAATGTTAATATAAAAAAATATATTTATAGAAAAAAATGACAAACAAAAGTTTGAAAAATCCAAAAATTGGGTTTCAAAATTCTATTCCATAGACTTTCCAAATTAATTGCATATTGCCTAAGCGGTTTGAATCGCATAACATTTCTAACTATGTTGTTACGATATCATAACAACAGAGGTATTTTCACAGGGTTGCCATATCTTGACTCTGTCTTGTCCCATCTTTATACTTCTATGTCTTTGACATTTACAAAGACATAGAAGTATAAAGATTAATTTGGAAAGTCTATGGAATAGAATTTTGAAACCCAATTTTTGGATTTTTCAAACTTTTGTTTGTCATTTTTTTCTATAAATATATTTTTTTATATTAACATGGTCCTGCCATAAGCTGTTACCCAGACAGTATAGACACAAACCATTTGCTCAGAATGCATTTTGTCTAGTCTTTACCATTTTAGGTCTTTGACATTTATCTAACACAGATGCTCGTTGAGAGAAGGAAAACGAGTCCATCAACGTAAAAGAGTATAACGTATGACACCAAACTCCAATATTCGATTGCTCGTGTTATATTGCTCTGTGATATAGCCGCATTTGCCGCAATATTTTTTTACATATTATTATTTAATCAAAAGTCGACCTACGTATCCCTACACATAACATTCACTGTTCTGTGATATAAAAAGTGATTTTTTAGCAAAAAAAAAAAAATGCCCAGAATGCAAAAGCTGGACTTGCAAGACTTTTGGTTTCAACAAGACGTTGCCACACAGCACGGTGAACATTTTCTTTCACGTTCGGGATCGGTCAATTCTCTTGTTCAGTAAGCCATTTCTGTGAAGCATGTAAGGTTATATAACGTAATAAATATGGCCTTTAGCAAATTTGAAATTAAATGGCATTTGACGTGGTATATTTGGTTCCTAGCATGGCAGAAGAATACAGGTAGTCGCTTCGAAACAGCTGCTGGGACAATGAACTGTCAAACCGATTTTGGAATTAAAAATGTTGAATGAAAAATTATTAAATTTTGTAAAAATTTTTGAGAAATGCATATTGTAACCACTTCCGATTTGCATCGTATAAGAAAATATATAAAAATCTACTTATTTTTGACAAAACAATTTTAAAATTTTGACATTTCAATGTTCGCAAGCGATGATGCATCTACCTATATTCTTCTACCATGGTTCCTAGGAAACGAAAATTGGACCAAAAATCCATGTTTTCAAAATCGAAAATCGATTATAAAAGCTCTACATTGCTATTTTCACCACAGGCAAAAGTACACTTCGATTTTTAAGTTCATTAAGATTAGAATACATAAAACGCTTTTTTGACTGGCTTAAGTGATGTTCTTCGGAAAAGAACAAAGGAGCGTTAG